CAAGATTTCTTCGCAACAACATTCTATAATTTAATTTTGGTTGCGGTACGTAGCATGTGCTTTTGAGTTCTCAAGTTTTTTGTTCAATAAATTGTCCCGCTCTCCACTCTAACCGTATTAGTTCTCTAAAATTCCCTTCATTATTAAGCACATCCTCGTCATTCGTGCTGTTATTAAAAAAAGTCGTCCCCTATCTACTCGTATATGCCCTCTAAGTGGTATAATTGCACTGCAGTGCTTATATACAGGGTCTTCCGAGACCAAATAGGCATAGATGATAATGATAGCTGGAGTATGGACCAAACACTTCGTAATTGAAATTATATTAAATTTTTCCGTCTGTCATTTTTTTAGACACGATTGTTTTATAGTATAAAAATTAAAAACAAACAAAAGTTAATTTTCTGGCTTATGCGTGGAAAATAAAAAATCAATAGAACGTAGAAAATAGCATTAATACCAACCAGATCAACAAAACTCCACTTGTTCACTTCTCGGCCAAATTTTGTTGCGGTCTCCGGACTGGTACAGAACATGGACATGAGACCTCACCATAAAAGACTAGACTATGCCTGTTCCAACAGGAAGAAGCGCACACCGTTGCTGTTGGGAGCGCCAGTACGGAGACGGCATAATAACATTTAGAACTTATCTTTATTATTAAAAACATACATATACAGTTCATATAAAAACAATGAGGGAAGGGTCTTCTAAATACGAATTTAAACTGTCAGAGCTCTTACTAAACATCTAATTGCTCTTTTTTGACTCAAAAATACCTGAGCTGAGCGGAAGCTGTCAAACTCCAAAAACACAAAGCGTATCTTAATCTTGACTCTATTTGGGCATTGTAAATAGCAACTAACTGACTCTGAAAGAACTGTTTTATAATTTCGGATTGCATATGCTTGAGAGTTTAATTTTGTGATTAGATGCTCACAATGGTCCTTAAAATTTAGGTTTGCGACAAGATATAATCCCAGAAACTTTACTTGATTTTCAACGGGTATTATTGAGCCATTTACATTAATGCTAACTGCTTCTGTTTTTTTTTCTGAACATTATGGAAGCTGCCAAGTTTTTTTTTTATACTCCAACTACCACGAAGGCCTAAGGCCTAAACACCCATTGGGTACCGTGGGGCTATAGGGGGATACAGGGGAAAGGGGAAACGCCACACGGACTCTGGCGAGGGAACACGTGTGCATGCAATATGCACACATTCTGGCTCCACCTATGAGATCCGCCGTCTACCACCTAAGTGATGTTTTCCTGGATTACTGCTGAACCACAGATGAATATCTTTAAGCAATGCTTTATATTTCCTTCTTAAGGACGTATCGCATTGGTTTGATACAACAACAGAAGTATCATCAGCATAAATCCATGTTTCGTGTTCCCTTTAGGTGGGACCCCCGAGCAGCTACCCCTAGTGCCCCTGCGCCAGTACACGCCTGGCCCTACGATACTATTGCACTCAGACCAACAAAATAAGGTTTTGATGAAAAAAAGATAATTAACGTTGCTCACGTTTCCTCAATTTCTATACTGCGTGTATGAAATTCAACCCCAACGATTGGGATTTTGGAAAAGGTAAGAGGTATGAAGTGTATTAAATGGGTGCAAAGTTGCGTATTTAGACAACTAAAAAAATAACACTGACAGTTTTTCAACTCAGAGTGTTTGCAGGCAGAGATGAAATAAACCGAATTTCTCTTAATTTTTTCCCATTCAATTTTAGAGTAAAATGGGCATTTTGTTACTTTTTCTTCCCTACAAGGTGGAATAATATTATGTTTCGTTTCTTGTCCTCAATAATCAACTTTATTTTTTCTTATTAACGTCATGTAGGATTTTTCCACAGAAAATTTTTAATTCCGATTCAAAAACTGGCCAAACCTTATTAGTTGTTTCAAATAAACTTATATTCTCATAATTGGCCTTGCAAATTCGGTTTAGATATGACGAATATAAAATGTGTTTAGCAACCCGTAGCATCTTAGTTACTTGGATACTTTAAAATGTTGTTATCAGTTTGTAATATTATATACAGTTGTTTCATCCGTCAAATAGTAAGAAAATAATTTTCATTATGTTGTTCTTCATTCGATGAGATGAAACTAACCATGGGATATATGTAAAACGGAAGGAATGATATTATCAAACTAAAGGCGTTAATAATTTTTAGGCCTACTTACACATTTTTGTAAGCAGAATTAAAAGCTCTATTTATTTTATTGTGATTCCCATAAGAAAGTAAAGTTGACAATAGAGGACAAGAGACGAAACATATTGAAATTCTAATTATGCGACCTTGTAGAGGGAGGAAAGGTGACAATGTTAATGGCCAAATTATTTTGGTATCTCACCTCAAAGTCGGATGAATAAAAACAATTTTGCGATAAACTTTTTTTTTGTCTATCACCGGAGTTACCGTACTATTCGAATGCCATTTTCTTAACTACCTATAGACACAACTTTGCCCTATTTAACCGAATTCGTATCTTTTACTTTTATTTACCTTTTACAAGATACTAAAAGTGAGGGTCGAATTTGAAACACCCAGAATGTTCTTGTTTTTTAAAGTGGTGACAGCACTACCTCATCGCGTTGGCTGGAAGCCTACTGCGAAAGAACGGCAGGGCTAAAAGCTCTTCGCACCACCGCAGCCTTGGCTGATGTCAGCGGAGATGGATATGGCTGCTTCGTGGCTGCGGATGATAACACAGAAACAGCTGCCGGAGGAAGGATGAGAGTGTATAGGGGAACCACCGCTAATGATATTTGGCTGCCGGATTCCCCTACGGCTCTGATCGCATTTTATACAGATAGGGTAGAGCCTAGGATACCTGGTGAGAACTTTCAATGCTTACGAATGCTGCTTATATAAAAAATCAGTTACAATATATTTCGTGTTTTACCATATATTAAAGTATTCCCCAAGAAGATGCCCAACCATATGCTGTGTTTGGACGTTCACATGTAATTTCCGTCGTTACAGCCGTGTTGCCGAGTAAGATCGCCAATGATTTCCTTAGAAGTCATAAGCACAAACTTCATCTTCATTTTAAAGAAAATAGTTCTTAAGCATAGCATCCACCTTCTACAAAAAGATCACTCCTCAACGTCACTCGTAATTATTTTCCTAGGATCTCGTATTCTCCGAATCCTTCGACCATTGATTCCCAAAGTGGTCTATATCGACCCCTAGGGGTCTATGACAACCTGCAAGGGGTCTACGTCAGCGAAAAAAAATTTGGGGTCCATGAAATGAATATGGGAGTCCACGATAGTGGATCTCGACACATACACTGATAGTACCTATTTACTTACATCATACTAATTTATTTATTTTATTATACAGGGTGACAGGAAATTAGTGGCGTATCCGGTAAGGGGTGATAGTATAGGGTAATTAGAGCCGATATTACTATGAGACCTACTATCCCACAGTAACCCATTCCAAGATATTCGTACTTGAAGAATTTTACCAAAAAGTTCTACTTAAAATTTTAAAATAGGTATACATCTTAAAAAATGGCTTTTCGGCCAATTTTTTTTTTGTTTTACAACAAAGATATTCTGAATAAGGAATACTAATAGTTTAATCCTGGTAATTGTCGTAATTTTCTGCGATAATTACTAAATAAAAACTAAAATGAAAAAAAACACGGTGACGGCTGCTAAAACGTGGATTTACTCAAAAAAGTAACCTATAATTGTTACGTACAAAATAATGAAAAAACATCTACGTTTCGTTGCCTTTCGAATGAGCTATTAAAATCCAAAATCGGTTTAGAAACGATGAAGATATGATCAATGGAAAAACCCATAGAGCGTATCCGAGAACAAAAAAGGACGCGGTCGTTGGGCAGTCGAGCTAATCCCTTCCTCCTTTCAGTCCGCTCAGGTGCATTTAAATTAGAGCGAACACGAGCGAACGAACGAAGGAACGAATTTGGTCTTGTTCGTTCGTTCGTTAGCTGTTTGAGGCATTTTTATATGTGCGAATATTTGCATTCGCGGATGTTCCGTTGTTCTGTTTTCGAACTCCATGTCGGACTCTGTTGACGATATAATTATTAGTGCTAGTTTTATTGTTATGGTAGGTTTGACGGAGAAAAAAAGAAAAAAGAGGTCTTCAAATTTACTGAAAAAAAGAGACACTGCAGGAGGAATAACAATGTTTACAGACCTTACAAGCGATAATCTGGGACAATTGAATAACTTTTACAGAATGTCTTCAACTGATTTGGAATATTTGCTAAATTTGATTGGTCCAATCATTTCAAAAACGGACACTACATTCAAAAAGGCAATATTACCAAAAGAGAAGTTATTACTAACGCTCCGTTTTTTGGCAACAGGAGATTGCTATTCGAGTATTTGTTCAAGATTTCTACATCATCAATTTGTCACATTATTCCAGAAGTGTGCAAAGCCATGATTGATTGTTTACAAGATTGTGTACAGGTAATAATTAAAAACCTGATGTGTAAAAAAACACTGGTAATTACTCAAAAGATTCTTTATTGTCATTTTACTTAGGGTTTAAAATTTAAAACAAAAGTAGCAAGTTCGCTCTCATCTGTTTGCTCTTTTTCTGTTTCTGCTGTTGCTGGCTGAGAGCATGAATGAAAATAATGACCCGGTGATGTATGATTTGATGATATATATGATACGTTATCTGAAGTAGGTGAAACAAGTGGTGTAGTAGTGAAAGATTCAGATGATCCTGTTAGTGGCGTTGAAACGGACGACAGATAATTTTGAATAAATGGCTGGTGTGACTGGGTATTGCATGACTGATGAGAATATGAATGTGACATGTATGGCGAACTGTCCCATATCCGCGTCAAACAGAATATTGTTTATCAAATGTTGAACAATGTTTCTGCAGCGATCTGAATAGGTGTCCAGTTTTGTCGCCACATATTCGCCAAATATATAATTTTTATTTTTATTTGCTTCCTCTACATTTTCATTGTCAGCGTTGATATTCACTGTAACATCTCGTTCTTGAATCTAGAAATAGAATAAATGCTTGTGAATTTTACTAAGTGGAATATTTTTTTTAGATGCTCAAGAATCAAGAGGAATGGTTACAAATTGCTGAAGGTTTTGAAAAGCGATGGAATTTTCCGCATTGCTTAGGATCTATTGACGGAAAACACTGTATTTTGCAAACTCCAGCCAACAGTGGAAGTGACTACTTCAATTATAAGTCGACTTTTAGTATTGTGTTACTTGCACTTGTGGATTATGATTACAATTTTTTATTCGCTGATGTAGGCTGTCAAGGCCGCACCTCAGATGGAGGAGTGTTTGCTCATACATCTTTTTGTAAAAAATTGTATGCAGGAACTCTAAAATTACCGGAAGAATCTATTTTACCTGGAAGGACAGAAAACGTGCCTTAGGTGTTTGTAGCAGACGATGCATTTGCACTACATAAGCACATTTTAAAACCATATGGTGGAACACACGAAAACAACTCACCTAAACGAACCTTTAATTATAGGCTATCAAGGGCACGGAGAGTTGTGGAAAATGCATTTGGCATCCTCTCTTCTGTCTTTAGAGTTCTCAGAAAACCGATACTTTTGAAAGAAGACAACGCGGCATTGGTGGTTTTAAGTTGTGTATACCTACACAATTTTTTGAGAAGGAGCAAAACATCGCGAAATATATACGCTCCACCAGGAAGTTTTGATATCGAACCTAATACGCGGGTAAATAACGGCAACTGCAGAGAAAACGAAAAAGCAACATCATTAATTCCATTAAAAAATTACTCATAAATATGTATTTAAGCATAAAAACGTTACTAAAATCTGAATATGCGTATTATTTCACTCACCTCCTCGGTATTTAATGTAGATTTTGGTGTAAATTTGTCTCTCAAAAAATCCAGAGACTTAAAGGCAAACCATGTTGAGTAGTACTGTTCTCCAGCTCCACTTCCTGATGTTTTGGTTGTACTTTCCTTTTGTCTCTCTCTTCGAAATGAGGCAAGCAGAGAGTTTATTTTCTTTTTCACTTCTATGGTGTTGCAATTCATTTCTGTTGCTATTCCTTGCCATGCATCATTTTTCTTATTTAGAAGTTTGTAAAATGATGATTTTGGATTCCACAAACATTCTTTGGTTCTATATAACTCAATGAGTTGTAAAGTTTTATCATTTGTCCATTCCATGTTTTGCAAGACGTAACCACATACAAAGTAGTTAAACAGTACACGTTTAGTAGGCCGAATTTATTCGCGTGTGTTCGCAAGTACAAGAAACGTCGTTTACATTGAGCGCGAACATCCTTTGATGATTCGCTAGTTTACCGACACGCGCTGGAACATGTCAGAACACGAACGAAACCGTTCGGTCTTCTTCGGTTCGCCATTTAAATTGGGCGAGCGTAAGCGAACGAATTCGTTCGTTCGCTCGTGTTCGCACTAATTTAAATGCACCTTGGTGGTTTACTGTGTTCGGATGTGCTCGCTTGCTCTCAGATTTGATATTTTCACGACTTTGATTTTTCCTTACGATTTGGCTGCTGAGTGACTGAGAGTGGACTAGCTGACTAATAATGGCTGTTAGAGAAAGAAGACGATCGTTCAGTATCGACGAATACGCCGATATTATTTTTTATTACGGAGCTGCCAGAGGAAACGCAGAACAAGCTCGTCGAGAATATGCCGAAATATTCCCTTATCGTCGATTGCCTGATGCACGCGTATTCTCCCGAACATTCCGTCGAGTGCGAGAGCAAGGAACCGTCCAAAAATACCAAGGTAAGGAACAGCCATTATTATTATTATTTTGTTTACACAAAATTCTTATCAAATCCGTTTCAAACTAAATAAAACTAAACCTTTCCTATCAGTTTTTTGTTATCCTTGCACGTACCCTTTTAATTGTGGGATTGCAAAACAAATGTCGCTGTCCATACAACTTACTAAAGTTAAACCCATAAATTATCGGTATGCCAGGGCTCGATAGGCTAGCTTTTTTCATAAGATAAACACCGATACGTCAGTGGTGCCTCACTACCTGCCGTAAGGCCCGTAAGTGCGACAGACAACCCAACAGAGGGCGTCCTGTTTCCACATTTTATTACCACGCGGACAGCGAGTCTTTGATGCTATAATTGCTTTTAGTTTGACTAATATTAACGGCTAGGTAATTAGCACCATAAAAATCAACAAAAGTCATTGTACTAAAACTTATAAAAACAAATCTTTTTGTTTTCAGGTGACGCAGGTAGACCTCGACTGTATGCCGCGGGAGACGAAGAGGAAATTTTAAATTACTTCGCAAGGGACTCTACTCTATCTGCACGAATGGTAGCTCGGCTTATGGGACTCTCCCAATGGAAGGTGTGGTACCTTCTTCATGAAAGTGGGCTCCACCCTTACCATTACACACCTGTTCAGGTATTTATAATTGAGACGAATCCAGTTTTGCAGATTTTTAATCAATGCGGATGTTGAAGATAGGAATTATCTGAGAACGATCTTATGGACTGATGAGTCCAAGTTTGATAAGGACGGTATTACCAATTACCATAATGTTCACTACTGGAGAGAACGTGTCATGGGTAATCCACACCTAAAAAGACCAAAAGGTTCACAAAGAAGATTTAACCTTAATGTGTGGATGGGAATAATCAATAACCGTTTGATTGGACCTCATTTCCTGCCTCAAAACCTTAATGGGGAAGCATATGAAGATTTTCTCAGGAATGTTTTGCATGAATTGTTGGAAGACGTGCCGCTACAAACAAGACAACACATGACCTTCATGCATGATGGCTGTCCAGCGCATTTCAGGCTAGCTGTGAGAAATTGGCTTGACGAACACTTCCCCAACCGCTGGATAGGTAGAGGTGGTCCAATACCATGGCCGGCACGTAGTCCCGACATCACACCCATGGACTTCTTCGTGTGGGGTCGAATGAAAAGTATCGTGTATGGTACTGATGTCCCTGTACCTAATATTGAAGACCTGCGCAACAGAATCATTCACGCAGCGCAGGAAATACAAACGGAGCTTCGAGATTCAAGGGTTGTGAAAACGGGTGTCCTGAGAAGAGCACGAATTTGTATTAGAAATAGGGGTGGGCATTTTGAAAACGCATCATGAATAAGAATGTTTCTTGTAATAAATTGATTTTTCAGCATTCAGCTTTTTTCTTTCATTTTTATTATTCGTCTATCTTGATGGTCCCTGAACCGATTTTAGATTTTAATACCGTATTCGACAGGCAACGAAACGTAGATGTTTTTTAATTATTTTGTACGTAACAATTATAGGTTACTTTTTTGAGTAAATCCACGTTTTAGAAGCCGTCACCGTGTTTTTTTTTTCATTTTAGTTTTTATTTAGCAATTATCGCAGAAAATTACGACAATTACCAGGATTAAACTATTAGTATTCCTTATTCAGAATATCTTTGTTGTAAAACAAAAAAAAAAAAATGGCCGAAAAGCCATTTTTTAAGATGTATACCTATTTTAAAATTTTAAGTAGAACTTTTTGGTAAAATTCTTCAAGTACGAATATCTTGGAATGGGTTACTGTGGGATAGTAGGTCTCATAGTAATATCGGCTCTAATTACCCTATACTATCACCCCTTACCGGCTCCGCCACTAATTTCCTGTCACCATGTATATGTTTATAAAATTGTGTAAGTTGTAGGATGTTGGCATTCGCTTTGTGGTCGCAATACATTTTGAACTTGTAAAAACCTGAGAGTCGCAGTCTCAGAGCTTCGCTACCTTGCACTGACTTGTTCAATTCGTCACTCTATAAATACGAATGTGGGACAAATACGTTTATTCGTTTCCTGAATCTTGAAAAGGAAAGTGCTAAGAAAATATTTTAAAAAATATAAACAGATAGTATATCACACAAATTATAGTGAGTCAGTGTTATTTTGTTTGAGAGTGCTGGAGAAAAGTAAGTACATTATTTTTTATTAAATTTTAGTTTTGTACTCGTAGTTAGCAAAGATAGATAAATTACGCCAATCATGACTTTAGTTATTAGTAGTTAAATATTCAATCATGCAAAATTACACGAGTACTCCTCAATAGTTTCTTTTTGAAAGTTTTAGCAATCGGTAATATAATTACAGTGCAATCTCCGTAATTCGAGCTAATTGTTGCAAGAAGATGTTCGAATTATGGAATGTTTTCGGAAAAATCAAAAAATATTTTTAATATACAGTTGTTGGATTTTCTGTCTTATTTAAATAATTTAATTTTGCCCACAGATGACTGATGCCATGTCCGAATCTAAAAATCATTGCCGGACAAACAATCGCCTATTAGCCTTTTATGCAACAAAGTTTTGGGCAATGACGCTATGAAACCATCTAAACTGCAAGATCATCTGAGAAGATGCCACCCTGATAAAACAGAGAAAGATTTGAAATACTTTCAAACACTCAAAGATAAATTTCAGAAGAGACCTACACTGGACAGAATGTTCGCTTCGACGTCACAAAGAAATGATGATGGTTTGCGGGCGTCTTACAATATCTCGTTACTTATAAAATCCGGAAAACCGCATACTATCGGAGAGAAGTTAATTTTGCCAGCTGTTGAAGAGGTTTTAAAAACTGTTTTACACAAACCTGCATCTGATATCATTAAAAGAATTCCCTTAAGCAACAATACTGTTGAAAGACGTATTGACGAAATGAGTTCTGATATTGAAAGCTTCTTATGTAATTATTTGCAAACGACCCATTTCTCTATACAACTGGACGAGTCAACTTTACCTGATAATGCAGCATTATTATTAGCATATGTTCGTTTTATTATGAATCAAGAAATCTACGAAGAACTGCTCTTCGCAAGAACTTTGATAACCGACACTAAAGGTAAATCAATATTTCATGTTTTGAAGGATTACTTCATTGAAAAATATATATATATAAATATAATATCAGTAGCTACAGATGGAGCACCTGACATGGTTGGACGTTATCGTGGATTTATAAGCTATTTAAAACAAAATGTGTCAGGGGTGTTAGCAATACATTGCGTCATCCATCGACAACATTTAGTTGCTAAAAATTTGAGTGTTAGATTGCATGAATCACTTCATTATTTGGTCATTGATGCAGTAAACCGAATCCGAAGCAACGCGTTGAATACGCGGTTATTTGCGCAGTTGTGAGAAGAAAATGACGAACACTTTCATCAATTACTCCTTCACACTGAAGTACGCTGGCTGTCGAAAGGCTTTTGTTTGACAAGATTTTTTGCACTTTTTGAGACTATTTTAGAATTTCTGGATACTAAAGATAAAATTTTAAAAGAAAATTTAACGAAGAGGAAAACAGACATCGCCTATTTAACAGATTTGTTTACAAAATTTAATATGGTTAATTTGCAATTACAAGGCGACAGTTTAAATTTGATTAAAACAAAGTCCATCTTATCAGGTTTTCTTGCCAGAGTTAAACTAATCAAGCAAAATATTGGACGGGGCGAATTTTCTCAGTTCCCCAATTTGTCACAGACAAGCTGCCAGGAAGACGACGTTTCAACTTACGTTCAACATTTAAATGCCCTCTATTCAAATTTTAAATCTAGGTTTGAGGATATTTTGACTAAGGTAATACCACCGTGGATAATTAATCCGTATGGTGACATAGAAGAAACGAATGTCATAATACAAGAGGAACTGACTGAACTAAGTACAAACGAAGAACTTAAGGTTCAGTTTAAAAACGGATATCAGCAATTCTGGCTGCAAAACAACATACCCGTTACTTATCCCGTATTATGGAATATATTGAGGAAATTTTTAATTTCCTTTCCATCGTCATACCTAGTGGAAAGGGGGTTCAGCGCTGTTACCAATCTCCTAACGAAAAAAAGAAACAGACTGGACATCATTAGCCGAGGAGATTTAAGATTAACCCTTAAAAAATTGACGCCAAATGTTGATAATTTATTATTAAAGCATCAGGTTCATCCTTAATAAAAATATTGACTTATTGCTTATGTTATTTAATTTATAGTTTATTTTATGTTTATTGGTGTCTGACCAATAAATGCCCGCATTGGGAATAAGTGCCCGCATTGATTTTTTTAAAGAACCCCCCTTTATAGAAATTTTTTTTTTAAAATTATTCTGAAAATTCAAGGATAGGTACACACTAAAATTCGTTAATTTTTGACTATTTTTAGATAACTTAAACGTATAAGAAGCGGAATTTAAGCAAACTAACAGTGAAATTATTGTAGAACATCACTTTTTTTTATTTTATCCCTCTTATTTTTTTTCAATGCGGGCACTTATTCCCAATGCGGGCACTTATTGGTCAGACACCTGTTTATTTAATGTTACGTATATTTTACATAACAGATACAAAATTTTATTTTGAGTAGTTTCAATTTAAATTCAATTAATAAATGTATAAATTAACATGTGTTTTTACTTTAAGTTTTTAACACTAAACTTCACTACAGTTAGAAATTTATAGGAAATCAATATCAGGTAAGTAGGGGGTCTACCCAACACGGAAAAACATGGCAAGGGGTCTACGACACAAAAAACTTTGGGGAACTCTGCCCTCGACGATGGAAGAGGAAATCGTATAACCTGCGAGAGCAGTCGGGGAGGTGGCAATGGTGACACATAGAGACGGCGTTCGATACGTGTTTCAAATTCGATCCTCTCCATATTGAGATTTTGTAAACCATAGGAGATACGAGCAGGTCGGTTAAATGGGCAAAGTCTTTCATTTATGTAACTAAGTTTTGCAATTCAGAGTATTTTCGAGATAGACAAAAAAGAAACGAATTTTCTCAAAATGTGTATGAATAAATTTGAGAAAACACAGGGTGCTCTTGAAAGTATTTTAAAACAATATAACTCAAAAATGTCGTTCACAATCGACGGTTGGTCTTCGTTTAATATGAAGGGATATTACGGAATAACTGCACATTTTATAGACAGCAACCGGAAACTGCATTCCATTCTCTTAGATTTTGTTGCAGCGCATGGTCAGCAAACTGGGGTCATTGTAAAGTTATTCCCCGACTTGGTTAATTTTTATGACTTTTTTTTACAAGGGATTTCCACTGATAGTACAATTAGCAACTTCACATTCATAAAGTTACTAAAAACTTCATTTGTAATATCGACCCTGCAAACTCTCATTTTGTGTGTGTGTTTTGCACACACCATAAATTTAGGTGCAAGAGATTTTATGAAGATACTTCATTCCGAATTCGAAGGTGAAGACGCCGAAAATTATTCTGACGAAAGTGACAATGATGATGAAGAAATTATCTAAGAAGTGAATTCGCTCATGCAAAAGATCCATGGTGTGGCAAAGAAACTGAAAAATTCGGAACAATTGCGGAATAATTTTGTAAAATACTGCAGTATCTTAAAGTTAAAAATGATTATGCCAAAAGTTGATATAATACCACGCTGTAACTCCAGTTTTGAAATGTTACAGTGGAGGTTGAATATGAAAAGTGCATTGAATATATTATGTGATAATACAAAAAACATTAAAATCTTAAAACTAAAAGACGAGGAATGGTCATTATTAGAAAGAGTATGTCAGTATCTGAAAAGCCGTTTCTACCACATTAGAGTCAAACCTATTGCACACTTTCGATGGTATCTAATTATTGGGATAAATATGCTTTTGGACAAATTAGAAAAGTCGGCATACGACCTTGACAATAAGGCAGAACGGGATGAGACTGATGAAAAATTAATAATTAGCGTCCAGGCCATAAGAGACAAAGTATTAAAACATTATAAGAAGACGAACTGGATGTACATACTATGTTGTCTTAATTTTAGACACAAGGCATAAAGAAGAAACATTTTCTTGCACAAATTGGGGAATATCTTTATGCGTCTACAAAATGAAGCGTCTTGGCATTACGAAATAGATAAATACAGGGTTTGTCCGGAAAGTAATAGGACTGAGTTGATTTAAAAAAATTATTGAGCCAATCGTTACAATTTAAAAACTTTCAAAATAGGCCAGCGCGACTTTCAAGCAAAGCAAATGTATTCCCAAATCTAGCTTTGATGGCAAGATATTTTTTATAGACACCTGCAACATCAGCTCATTTTGAAAGAGAATTTTCTAAAAAACCACTCCACATCATGAAATCCCGCAACAGATTCAGCAATAAATCGGTTAGGGCCCTTATGTGTCTTGATTCGCGGCTAGCGAATGAACAGTTAATTAAAAATTTTCGTGTTTCTTGTATCAACTGATGAGGAAATGTTTTTTTTCTATTTGAGTTTACAGTTTTATCGTTCTGTTATTTGTTAGACGTTCATCAGATTATTTTGTTCAATATGGATTTTAGTTTTCTCTATAACTTGTGACAAATAAAAGTCTTTTCGTTGTGTACTTGAATTTTACTTGTATTTATATTACAAAAATATCAAGAAGTACTTGAATTTTCAATTTTCAAGTTTACATAGCCATTATATGTGCTTCATTTAGCCTTCTTAAAGTGAGTATATTTTCAGCAATTGCAGTGGCTTGTGGTTCAGTTTTGTACATTTACAAAAATAACAAGCCATTCTTCAAATTTTCCGTACCATCGTTACCTATAACGACCAAAGAAACTGCATCCTGGCAGGCATTTTTACAGGATGGCCCTGCAAAGGGGGATGAAAGTACACTAGTGGAAGCACTCTCTGCAGTTCAATATAACTTACTTAGTACAATGTAAGTTTTTTTACTACGTAATTTTGTAATACCTATTTAGATTTTTTATCCAGTCATAAAATAATGAACTTTAGTAGTATTTATCAAAACCCACTGCGATATTTGTGTTTATTGTGTGACTTTTCGGCTACCACTCTGGCCGTTTTCAACATTAGAAGTTTCATCTAAAACTAATGAGAACATGTTTCAAAACGCTTAGGAAAATAAGGATTGACTAAATTTTATACAACTTTATACTCTGAGTATAGCAATCAAAGCAGAAAAAAATGCGACTCCATCGTCCATCGCCACCAAGGTGGCCGAAACTTCATCAGTAAAAATTATTCAAGCGTATGTGCTTTCATTCAGCGGACAGACAATCATGCTGTCCTATAAGCATGAAAACCAAAGAATAAGTTTCAAGTGTTATAATACATTAGAGTAAATAAGGTAGAAGTCTACCATTCACCGAATGTTCAAGTATATCAGCCAAAGCCGCGAATTAAACTGATTCCATCAATCTTTTAATTGTGGTGCATGTGCAATGTATATTGATATACACTCCCTAATGCAGTAAGGTCAACTACATTATAATTTAAAAATTGTGGCTGCAAGACGTAAGCAATTTATTCTCGAACTTTAGAACGTCACATTCTTCCCCAGAGATTCTATAAAAATGGGTTTCTATATTTTTTATAGAGGCCAAGAAGTAATATCAGAGCCCTCCAAAATTGATACGGTCCTCAAAAGCCGTGGAATTACTGAGATCACAAAAGAAACGTTCTATTGTGAGTCACCTATAGCATGCATGACAACATTGAAGAAAAGTACAAATGACAGATACGATGTTTGCTGTCCAGTTTTAGCTACAGAATCTGGAAATATTTTCATTCTTGATCCTGTGAATTTTTCGGTTCTATACCAGGTTAGTTCGGTATTTTGCATGATGTTGATGCCCAGAATCACCTTAAGAATATTAGCATCAAGACTCTCAAAGAAAGAAATAGATCCATCTCCATACTTCTGATATATGCTATTATGCACGGCTTCCATTCGTCGTACTCGATTACTGTGGACCTCCAGTAATCCGACAAACATTATGCAGGGCAGTGTCGGACTATCGAATTTGTCGGATTATAGAGCACTGCCTAAGACCCCCTATAGTCCGGAATTTTTTACAAAAGAGTACCTTGTAATCCGACAAATTACATATCCAATGGTAAGATTATATATGTTATGTATATGAAGTACAAATCATACATAGTTTATGTATGTCGAATTTAGTAAATTAAATAACAATAGAGAGCTTACATTTTATTATAAAATTAAGCATAAATGCACATCATACATATGTACCAAAATAATCAAGAATTATTAATCAAAATCATTAATGAATTTATCAAATTATGAAGCTTGGAAATATTCATCAATTTTTTTTTGTTTAAGGTTATTATAACGCGAGATCAGAGCTTTGTCCCTCAGTTTTCTCAAAAGTGAAAGTTCGTTGTAGGATGTACCATTCTCTTCAGTCCATTGTAAACCTAGCTCAAAGGCGTTAATTGCGTCTTGTGCTGTGACTTGTGGAGCAGATGCAATCACGTCGTCGTTATTTTCCTGATTGTTTGTTGTATAATTAGAAACCTCTTTTATAATCTCTTCGTCAGTCATTTCATGAAAAACATTTTTCTCTTTATCCATTCCACGGCACCAGATTTCCAAATCTTCCGGACTTATCTGTGTTCTATAACTTCCGAAGTAACACTGATTTGTGGAACGTTGCTAGGAGTGGTGACTATATCTGGCCATAACTTTTTCCAAGACGATTTAATAGTTGATGACGGTAACGCATTCCACGACTGACAAAGAGCAAAAACCAAGTCTTTCATATTAAATTCCTTTAAAGTTTTTTCTATTGGTTTGTCATTTGATACGGCTCTCAGAAGTAGGTTTTTCTTATAGTCTTGCTTGACAAACTGAATGATATTTTGGCCCATTGGTTGAATCAGAGCAGTGTAATTTGGCAGAAGAAACATCGCAGTGATGCATTTATCCTCAGTTGTTAGTTCTTCTTCAGACGGATGACCGGGAGCGTTATCAACAAGCAACAACGCTTTTTGAGGAAAATTATGATCTTTTAACCATTTTTTAACTTCAGGTACGAAGCATTCATCAAACCACTTTTTGAAAAGGTCTTTTGTCATCCATACACTTTTTTGTCCGTAATAGTGTACAGGTAAATCAATGTTTTTGAATGCGCTTTCGCTTCTGAGATTGTGATGACATTACTAGGTACTATACTTAATACACAATGAATAAATAGTAAACAATGAACGCACGCTAGTCTGTACCGCTATCACCAGTAGTCAAATTCAAACTAAATAAAACAATGCTTACGCGTCGAGCACGATAGCGGTGGCGCGTACAAGTTGTAACCTGTTCAAACCTGCGTGATCTACATTAGCGAAGATTGTCAAATACGTATGTATGTAATACATATTCAAAGACATGTCGGATTACAGGGGGCGCCGGATCAGACAGGAGCCGGATTATCGGGGGTCCACTGTAGTTGGATAAACGCAAGCAGTTATTTGAAAGATCAACGGTGTTGAATTCCACCTCCCTCATCAAATAATTTTTGTTTGTTTGTACCTTCAATCCAAAAATAAAGACACATTATTATTTTCCACTTTCAAAAAGTTCTTTTTTTTCATGGAAGTGTTACAACTGTATTTCAGGTGTAGTCATTTGAATTTTTCTTAAACAGGATGATGCATTTCAGGCAAATGTCAATAGGATAAAGTCAACTCCATTTCTTATAGCTGGATTGGGAATTTTTAATGTCCAATATCGCATGATGATAGCATGTAGAGAAAAACATGTGAGTCTCCTCAGAAAAGACTGGTTAGAAGGAAAAACTGTTATTCAGACTATGAATGCTATCAGTGACTTGATCATTACTCCTGATGATGGATTGATAGTAATCGGTACTATTGACAAGATTTTACATTGTTACACAAAGAAAGTAAGTATATGGTTGTTTTTATGTTGATGTTTTCAGCTCTCATCTGGCTGGCTCATTAAGATAATGTAGGTATATTAACTAGTTATTCGAATAATTAAAAAGGTTAACAGAATAATTATGGTTATTGGGTTTAGTCTTCATTGCAAGTATCAATAGTTATACCTGATAAGAATTTTATATAAACACGATAATTGAATAAATATAAATATTTGTTACTCACAGACATGGTAAGATATTAGTGCTTATCAAATTGTTGTATTATTAATCACTAATAAAAATAAAGCTATAAACATTAATTAGTTCAAAAAATGCAAATAGATCTTCAAAATCTTAGAACGATTGCAATTGAAATATTGCCCTCATCAAGATTAAAGAATCGGACTCCCTTTTTACGATCTTGGTTGTGTATGTAGTTCTTGTCATGCTTTGGTTATTAGGTTAAGGACCGTTGGCGATAATGGCGACCACGTTACTACACTATAGTGCATTTACACCCAAGATAGAATAACAACAACAACAGCAACAACCAAGCAAGGTGAATACGAAAAACGAGCACGCAGTGATACACGCGACGGACGGTGGCCTGAGTGCAACTCTGCCTGCCCTGCCCCTGCCCCGCGCATTATTCCGCCAGGCGACCGCTTGAAATTTAATGGCGAATTGACCAATAAGAGGCGTTGTCCCACCGAGAGATCACACGCTAACTGTTATTATTTACATCTCATCTTGAATTTGGATTCAGTTATTTTATTAGTCTTATTTACGGCTGCTCTAAATCGCCAGGTTGTAGATTTCGCAGCCACTGTCGTCGATGTTATTACGAGGTACCAATTTGAGAAAAAATTTCTTGAAATCGCTAGACTCTCAAAACCTAGAGCCAAAGGTGTACGTTCAGCCTACTCCTAGATAGAAATGGAGCGCAAGTGGCTTGGGTATCCCGTATTTTGGGGGAAGGGTCTAGGGGAAGAATAACAATCTCGCCCAACAGCCAGGCTGCAATGAAGGCACTAAGTGCCTGCAAAATTACTCCGAGCCTTATATTGCAATGCAGGGAGGCTCTGGATAGACTAGCGGCGAGGCATCCGGTATCGTTCGTGTGGGTAGCGGACACGCTGGGATAAAGGGCGATGATATGGCGGACGCTCTTGCGAAAGCAGGGTCAGTGCTCGTTGGTCCTAAGCCAGCCTTAGTGGTGCCCTTGCAAAGTGTCAGGAGGAAAATGGAGCAGTGTATTGCAAGACAACATTCTCAGAAATGGAGAAGCATCTCCGTTATGTACATGAGCTCATCGTAGTGCCCATTGTTAAGGACGAACGCTTTTGCTTATCTCAGGATAGAGCGAACCTCAGGTTGTTGGTGGGACTGTTGTCTGACCTCCTCAAGGGGTGGCCAGTATTCATCTAATTTTGTTGTTCATTCATTCAAGTAGGTGAAACTCTAACGATACGATAATGTTATCTGTGATCCAAAACTCATATAAACCCACCCATATTCTCTGTAACTAATTTTGATAATGGGTAACGGAGGTTTGTCTCGCTACTGCGCAAAATCGCAGTAAGGAAGGTTATATCGAAGCAAAACAAGAGCACTAACAACTCTCTAATGACTCGTCAGACCCAGATCCATCCGGTATTCGTATGTTTATTAATAAATTTATAGCGTTTACACAATATATATAACATTCCAAATTTTGATATATGCGACATATCACTTTTACGCACTTTTTAATTATGAATTTCATTATAACTTAAGAAACCAATTAAATACGCTTCTGACTGCCCCAAGAATCGGCTGATAGAATTCATAATAGTGAAAGCCGATAAAGCGCGAACCTCAAAAAAATCTTTTTTTCAAGAATTAAAACCAAAATATCATAAAGGTCATGCGGTTAAAATAAAAAGTTGTACAAAGTGATGCACTATATTGACTCTTAAGCAATTATGATGTAGCTTAATACTTTTATTCGAATCTAACTAAACATTTCAAATGCTTATAGATTTTTAAATACAAAGAACAGAGCTGTATTTCCAAAAAGCATGTTTAATCTGGTTTTGGTGTATTACATTTTTTTAAATTACTAAAATAGTGCCAATAATAAAAACAAATTCCATGTGAAACAACTAGGTTACTCTTACACGCTCCAAATTGATGAAAGTCATCTGAATCCTCTGTTAATCGTTTGTGAGAGATTTTGCTCATTTCACCAACTCTGTAACATCAGCCCTTCCATTCCAGAAAATTTCATAGTATCTTATCCATATTTTGAGAACATTTGTTACACACGATAGACTCGTACAAAGCAGATAAGAATACAATTTCTAGGGTCACAAATTGTGGGCCATAAAAATGGCTCATTTAGTAACATGCCTTTGCTTGATCCCGATTCGTCATCTGAGTATCACCCTAACCGCTGTAGGATTAAAAAATGGCACCATCCAAATATATCATGGAAGGAAATGTGTTGATCAAACCTCAGTACCGGGCAGTCCATCTGTCATCAGGTTTGGTCAGCTAGGTCAAGAGGAAAATGCACTCATCACAGTCACAACAGGTATGCTGTATCCAATGTTTTGTACTCTTATAACTTATACAGGGTAATTTCGAAATCGAAAATGGTTATATCTTCGAAGTGTATGATATTTATTGAAATTTTGCACATAGTAAAAACAGCATAGTCAATATACAGGGTGTTTCAATTTATTGTTGCATAACTTTAAGATTCGATAGAACTTTTAAAATTAATGCATAAAGTCTATATAAACATGGGTCGAAAAATGCGTGGCTTCCGAAATACAGGGTGTTTAAATTTACTTTCTAAAATAGTTTTTTTAATATTTCGAACAATATTTGATGTATAACAGTGAAAATTGGTATACAAGGGTTTTTTGGTACGACAAAACGAACCATGGGCATAGTTTTACTGTAGCCGCTAGAGGGCACTCTCTACTGTACCTGTAGTGTATTAAAATGACCGAAAAATTTTTCTTAGTGCAATTTTTTGCTTTTTAAAAAAAAAACTGATTCTTCGCACTTTTCAACATAAAAAAGCTCTCTTGTGAATTTTCGTTATAGTTAGCCGTTTTTGAGATATTTCGATTTTTAAGGTTCGATGCATTTTTATTATTTATGATAAAATAACGTTAAAAAGTCAGTATCTCGATAATTTTTAGAAGTAGGCTGTGCCTGCAAATATTTTTGAAATTGAAAGCAGATTAAGGTTAAACCTCAATTAGTTGACAGTTAGTTTTGTTGTCTGTTGAAACCTGAAACGTTTTTTGCAATTGTGAATGCACGAAATTTAGTTCCTCTTACCTGTTTTTTTTTGTAAGTTTTATAAAAATTCCATTTTTATTCTCCAATCAAGAGTTAGCGGATATTCATTTTGTGTATGGCTTTGTAAATGGAAACGCAGCAGAAGCAGCCAGAGAATACGCACGAAGATTTCCAAACAGACGACATCCGACTCGCTCAGTATTTGTAAGAGTGCATCGCCAAATAATTGAAAATGGTTTTGGAAATCTCCAAAGGGATCAAAACATAAATGTTCGTCAGCGTAGATTTACCCGTATGATTCTGCGTGAGTTTGATAGAGATCCGACCATAAGTGTTAGGAGAGTTTCTGGTGCCTTGGGAATTTCAGCAAGCCATGTTCACCTTGTTCTTAGAAATGACCATAGATGTCCTTACCATTTGCAACCTGTGCAAGGACAACAAAAAAATATTATTTTCCCATAAATAATTAAAAATGCATCGAACCTTAAAAATCGAAATATCTCAAAAACGGCTAACTATAACGAAAACTCACAGGAGAGATTTTTTATGTTGAAAAGCGCGAAGAATCAGTTTTTCTGTTCAAAAAGCAAAAAATTGCACTAAGAAAAAATTTTCGGTCATTTTAATACACTACAGGTACAGTAGAGAGCGTCCTCTAGCGGCTACAGTAAAACTATGCCCATGGTTCGTTTTGTCGTACCAAAAAACCCTTGTATACCAATTGTCACTATTGTTCGAAATATTTAAAAAAAACTATTTTAGAAAGTAAATGTAAACACCCTGTATTTCGGAAGCCACGCATTTTTCGACCCATGTTTATATAGACTTTATGCATTAATTTTAAAAGTTATATCTAATCTTAAAGTTATGCAACAATAAACTGAAACACCCTGTATACAAAAATGTTTGTCCGACACGACACCAATGGCGTAGACATTGGGAAATTTTGCCCTTACTCAGAAAAAAAGAATATTATTTCTTACGCTACTGACTTTTTTATACAGCTATTGAGTAAGGTATTCAATTTTACATGAATCGGTTCTCTTGAGAATGTTTTGTCAGACTACTCCTTTTTGAGACAAACTGGTTTGAATATTTGAGGTGTAAAAAACTCCACCCGTTTTACTTTGTAAATAATTGTAATAAGTTAGTGATTTTGGCAGTGAAAATTATGTGTACTGTATTAAGAGAGCAATCTTATTTCATCGTAGCATTATTTGAACAAAATTCATGTTTCGTACTTTTGAAACTCATCAGTGGTGTAGACATTTACAATACCATGTATATTGGTTCATCACTCATGATTTCATGGACTTTTTTGTTATTTGTGGATGTAGTTTCTACTCTAGAAATTTTAGGAAGAAAAGGGTTCTAGGATAGCTAAATGCATAGCTCGATTAAAACTTCATACGGTCAAACTTTGAGAAACACTGACCTTTATAAGCTGTTTTATCGACAATACATTTTGATCTGAAATTCTCCTTGAAGAAGGAAGGTCGAGTGATAAAATAAAATTCGATCTTTAAGCTAAACAGTGTTTATTGTAAACTTATAAACAAACTTAGCTACCACATAGCAAAATAGACTTTTTTCTCCCCTTTATGTTTAGTACATCATCTTGTAGGGCATCATTTTGTGCATCATGTGCATCATCATGATGTTGCACCTTTCAATGCCTGTAAAAAATAAAAACAATAATTTAGTCTTGTGGATTAAAATCCACTCGAACATTCGTCGTATTAGCAAATTCGACACTATTTAAATTAAAGTTAGTGTTGATGTCTTTGGGATATACCCACATCAATGTATTTTATTATTTAATACGAAATTTAAAAAAAATTACATTATGTCGACTTTGTTGATTACTTTTGAACATATTTCTATACTAGGGAAAAGTTCCGAAAGAAATTATTATCCTGTATTAAAACTCTTAAACCTGATCATTGTGATTCCTAGAACGGTCGCGTAAGGTTTTCCCAACAGTCTCAAAGACATTTGATAGTATGATTAACGGAACAAAGAGTGTCAGCGGAAAATTAAAGAACTAAACATGTTTAGAGCCATATGATGTTAAATGATAAATTTAGGAAAAACAGTGAAAAGAAGGTGACTATGTTGCGACATTTTCGTATTCATTTGATTCCAAATCAAATTTCGTATTCAACACTACGAAAGATAATCAACACGCCTGCGCCAAACGTGCATTGTTTTTTATTCCATATGAGGACTTACCAAATCGCTGGTAGCACATCATTTTGTCAAAAGTAGTCATTCCGTGTTTGAAGAGCATCTTGTCCATCATCATCTCCTTCATCATTTCCCTGAAAATAAAAAGCATTTTAGACAAATATGACAAGAAAAAGTATGGCAATAAAAACAATAGCATTTTATTGACCAACAGAAAGCCAATTTACTGGCAAACAATACAAAAAGTAACCATACGAGTATGTCATTAACATCTAACTAATTTAACGGAAAGACGCATAACAAATAATTGATCACATTTTAAGTTACTCATTGTACGATTGAATATATCATAACCTGACAAATAGTATTGAAATTAGTACACAAAACTCTAATAGGTGGTTTCAAAAGAACGCGTTTTGGCATCCTCATTTTTGTGTTCTGTTTACATACCTCATGTACACGTCATCAACGATGTCCTTGCCGAACATACCATAGTCGTACATACGAGGATAGATCCCGGTGAAGTCCCAGTCTTTCATGCCCATGCCCATACCCATAAGTCCGTAGTGGCGGTAAGGTCCGTACATGCCCATACCCAGTTTGTCCATGCCTCCGATACCTGTCCACAGCATGTGCATGGGGTCGAACATTCCAGTCATGCCCATCATGTCACCACCCATGTATCTGTAATCAAAAGAAAAAATTGCATCAAGTAGGTTGACTTCATACTTCTCACGCAACGCTGTCATCAATTCAGAAAGGATTATGTTAGGTAGAAGTTAGGCCCTCTGACAATGAGGCAAAAGTTAGCTACGAACATGCATAACAAATAAAGTTAGTCAAACAGGCCCTTAAAAAATGTTTCTCTACCCTACCGACAGTACCAACCATTTTGGAACGATGCTATGACTAACCTCGCCCACACGTAGCCACTTGCTGAAACCACTCGTCAGCCTTGGCAATATGGCACTCACAGCATGATACTCATCGTTAGATAGCTGTGTACCCAGGGACCAGAGACGCGCGTGAAAAATATTTCTCTATCATTCTAAGTTGTAAGAGCAAATATACGGCGAATTATAAATACTTAAATACTGAGGCCAACAAATTGAGAGATACCCCCTACAACCCCCAATTTTTAACCCCTACGTTTTTTCTGAAAGTAGTCAAGAACCTCTGAAACATTAAAAATGAAGTTTGAGCGTTTTGTTTTCGTTTTTTGCCCCTAGCTTCGCCGCCTCTGGACCGATTTTCAAAAGCTACAAAGCTTCTTATTTCCTGACACAAGCAGACCGATGGAAATGAGTGACAAGTTTTTTCGATTTGTAAATGTCATATAACATCCTAAAGACATATCTCATTGTAGAAATTTTTCGCGATTATAATACTTCATCGTCAGTGGTATGGGAAATAAAAATCGTGTCAAGTAGATTGTCTGAATATTCCTTCACGTATACATATACGTATATTTTCTCTCCTACGGGCAAATTTAAAAATGCTCGATACACTAATGCTGTTTTATTATTATTTTCGATATACAGGGTCAGTTTTTAGTGGTCGGTGAATAACTCCGTTATTACGCATGTTATCTAAAAAAGTTAATAGTAGAAATTGTTCTCAACAGTATATTCTTGACTTGTAAAAGATTTTTATTTTAACAGGGTGATTCATGACTCCGTGGTGACCCAAACATACATTTTTTAAATGGGACTTTTCAAATGAAGCAATTTGATATAACATACTATAGACAATCTATTGAAAGAAACACTCAACTTTCACAATTTGCACTTCCTAAAATGTTACAACTAGAGTACTGAATTATCTTCATTAAAAATTTATGATCCCATATTTTGTTCCAATCTACGTACTTTCTTAAATTGTTTATATGAGGTGCTCAATAAGGCAAAATGAAGTATTTCTCAAAATTTTCTACGTTAAATGCACCAAAGCTACTCGTAGAGATACTACCAATCACATTTCATATACGTACTGAAGAAATAAAATCTAAGATACATTTTATTTTACCGTTTTTCTTGAAAACGATTAATTAGGAAACGTTTAAGTGAGTGTCGTTTGAAGCGATGAAACGGGAAACGTTTTAATCAATAATCTAAAGGTACTTACTTCATGGTCTTGTAGACATCCATGATATCTCCATATCCTCCCAGGATGCCAGTTCTGTGCACAGGCATGACATCGTAGATGGGAACTGCGCTGGCTACAGCCAACAAGGCACTCAAAGCTACAAAGAACTTCATTTTTAAAGGGCGGTGAACACTAGCACTTGACTCTCCAGGTACAAGGATACTGATGCAGATTTGCAGATCGCTTCGCGTTTTATATGTTATTCTTTTATCTTTATTAGCTCGCTAATGTCTTAGATGTTTGTTTTCGAAAAGGCTCGATCGTTGTTTGTACGCCAGTTATCACTTCACTATCACTACACAGTGGCGAAATATTTTATTAGTTGTTGATTGTTACAATTGGTGTTATTGCAAAAAATTGCAATGGATATGAATCGATACTGGTAAAAAATATCGATTTGTACCGTATACGTACCTCTACTAACGAAATTAACATGAAGCTCCATGTGCTTGTCGTACGATTGAAACAAATTTAATACCATTGAGAAGACGTCCTACAATTGTAGAAACGACTGACGATACGGCCCTTAGTAACTTTGTCATGAGGTATGAACTTGAGACACTTATCAAAAAGAGTTTACAAGTTTTTGACTGCTTCATTAATTTCAATAGTAGCACCATCTAAAGTCATTTAAGCTATTTTTAACAGGATTTCTAAAAGGTTTAATATCTCAAATATTCTACCATATTCTACAATCTCGACCAGAATTGGGTAAATTGGGTGGGTAGTAACGAATATGATGTTTTTTCATGAGATCAATGGAAAGCCCCGCAAGTCCAATTTTTGATGGACACATTCGTAATCTGTGTCCCAAATTACCTTATTGTACTGTTTCGAACATCAAAGTTTAAAGGCATACTACTGTTGATAGGACATTTTTGTACTTTAAATGCGGATTCACGATATTTTAGCTTTTTTCAAAATCTGCGCCCCAAATTATCCCATTTTACTGTTAAGGTCGCCTGTAACTACAGGTTCCGAAAATTGAGATTTTGCTCGAAAAGCTTCATATGTTATACGCATATTTTGTGTAGATGCCCTTTGAAAACACTAAGCAATGGGATATATTACTACATAGATCAATCTGTGCTTTCAATAGTTGTAATAGTTTGCATTCATTTTTCAGTGATGATACGGTTTATGTACGTTTCACCTCCTACGTCACTGAGCGAAAGAGTATTGTAATCGACAAGAATTCCGAAAATGGGATATTGTGTTTTTTCGAGGGAGAGCGATAAAGGCAGCAAATAAATTTGGGTGATGTTTTGGAGCTGAGGCGAAGCCACAGAATGTCCTTCCGGTCTGATTCCAAAGAAAGATCCCTGGAGCAGGAAAGACTGCTGCGGACAAAAGCCACAACTCCCCCGTTCTTTCTCAGATTGGAGTGCACCTCGTAGTTTGGGAAGTTGAGATGGTTAATCGGTGCAGTGTCTGAGACTTTTGTCTCCGCCAAGAAAAGCACGGCGGGATGATTGGATTGCAGGTAGTGATGAACAGCATCAATGTTGCTGTTGACCCCGCAGATGTTCGAAAAACAAATTTTATCTTCGATGTTGTTCCCTCGAGCCCACCCTCCACCCGGACATTCCGAGAGTGGAGTGAGTTTACGTCCGGAGTTTTTAGTGCTCGAGGGATCCATCGTCATTAATTTCTTTGTTTTGGTAGATAACCGACTGCATAGCTTAGGTGTGGAAACATGGGGACATTTATAAGACACCCTGGGAAAAGCTAGCGGGTGGTACTGCCTCGGTTGAGTGGTCCTTGTCTACCACCTCCTTTTTACGTGTTAGTGATGTTAAATAGACCTAAAGTGGCCCGTTGGCGGACTTGTACCGCCACCCGGCAATCGGTACTGAGGTATTCATTCCTTAACGCGTGCACAATCACTTGGACGGGAAGAAGTTGTATACTGGATACAACAACTTCCGGAACAAGCATTTGCCACGGCCCTCGCTCAGTAGGGGTAGGGTAATGTCGCAGCGCAATGGCAGTCGGTCTTTCTGGACGCTGGCCAAGCAGATTGAAAAGAACTTCTCACACAGTAGCCTTCCACCACTTACGTGTCAGGATGGAACTATTGTATTCGACTCAAAGGCCAAGGCGGAAGTGCTAGCCAAGATCTTTGCTGCCAACTCCACCATGGACGTCCCCACCAACGCCCAAGTGCCGTCAATTCAAAGGGTTCCCCACAATATGCGGGAGGTAACATTCAGGCATAAGACCGTAAGACGAGTGCTCTTGTCGCTCGACATCAATAAAGCTTCTGGTCCGGACTTGATTCCTGCCATTGTACTGAAGAGATGTTCAGCGGAGCTTGCTCCAGTTCTTTCGCGTCTCTTCCAGATATCTTATGAATTCGGCACCTTCCCAGAAAACTGGAAATTTGCTCATGTACAGCCCATCCCAAAAAAAGGATCTAAAACCGACCCTTACAACTACAGGCCTATAGCTCTGCTTTCTGTTATAAGTAAAGTGATGGAGAAGTGCATAAATCGCGAGCTTCTGGACTACCTCGAACGTCACAGCTAGGATTAGCGACAGGTAGTACGGTTTCCGGCACCAACGATCCACAGGGGACCTCCTAGCTTACGTCACGCAACTGTGGAGTAAACTCATCCAGTCTCATGGTGAGGCTCATGTCGTTGCTCTTGACATTACGAAAGCGTTCGATCAGCTGTGGCACGCTGCCCTCTTGAGCAAACTTCCATCCTATGGCCTCCCAGAAAAGCTTTGCAGATGGGTGGCTGACTTTATCTCTGGCCGCAAGATATCCGTCCTAATTGACGGATTCTCCTCTTCATCCCTCAACGTCAACGCGGGTGTTCCCCAGGGATCGGTCTTGGCTCCAACACTGTTTCTCTTACATATCAACGACCTCCTTTCCTGCACGATCAACCCAATCCACAGCTTCGCTGATGACAGCACTCTACATGCAGGAATTCAGAGTGACAAGCCGATCTCTGCCGCTGAGCTGGAAAAAAGAAGACTAGCGACGACTTCCTCTCTGACAAGAGACCTATAGGCTATCACTGCTTGGGGACGCAACAATCTTGTACAGTTCAATGCTTCCAAAACACAGTACTGTACTTTGACGAACAAAAAGCGTCCTAGCGCTCATACAGTTTCGATGGACGGCCGAGTTCTACCAAAGAGCCATTCATTTCGGCTGGTCGGAGTCCCGATCACCGAGGACCTGATCTGGCACGAACACATCTCTTCAATAGCTGCAGCTGCTGGGAAAAAGCTAGGCTATTTGTTTAGGGCTAAGAAGTACTTTTCTCCGCATGACCTTCTCACTCTATACAAGGCCCAGATAAGGCCTAGCCTCGAGTATTGCTCACACATTTGGGGTGCTGCCGCCCAGACTACATTGTCCATGCTCGATGCTGTCCAGAGGAGGGCGGTCCGACTGATCGATGACTCTTCTCTAACAGACAGTCTCGGGACTCTTTCGCTTCTATCGCTACACCAACGGGTTTTGCTCCTCAGAGCTCTCTTCCATGATGCCGCCGCGCGATGTGCCTGCCAGACAGACCCGCCTGACTTCGGCGTCCCATCCTAACCGTGTCAAACTTCGTACATCCAGAACTGGCCGATACGACCGCTCCTTTGTCCCGAGGGTGTCTAAGATTGTGGAACAATCTACGGGAGGAAGCTTTTCCCAGTTCTACTAACCTTAGGCAGTTCAAAAATCGTATTAACAAAATTTCTTTGGGATCATCATAGCAGCCGCGGTGTTCCGGCATTTAGGCTTCTGCCTGCGCGGCTGTTTCGATATAAAAAAAAATGTACACTATGAAAAACCATGTCACTCATTTACGCCGGTATGTCTGTCCGCTAATCCGTGGCTTGAGAAGTACTGCTCAAATTTGGACGAACACAAGGTTACTACTATGATAAGGACGGAAAAGCTTTATAGCTTTCGAAAATAGGTCCAGTGGCAGCGGAGAAAAATGCCAAAAACGACAAGAATAAAAATCGCCCAAACTTTGTTTTTTGACTTTTCATGCGAGCCATTTGATTGATAAAATAGTTTATTGAGTCATTTTTAAAGTTACATAATTTTCCGCAACAAGCATAACGTTTTTTGGTACTCAGCTACGCGCATTTGTATATGGACTATTGAGAGCTCTAAGGAAGTCGGCATAATCTCGTAAACGAACGTAGATATTAAAATATCGTAGATACCTAAAGCTACAAAATTGTCTCAACAAGTTTTTTCTTTATATCATATTTACAAAAAAATCAAAAAGTATTTAAAAAATTTTGCAGTTCCTGTATACGGTAGGATCAGAAACTTTTCGTTATGCTAAAGAACACTATGCCGATCAATGACCTACATCCAAATTTACATCCATTTTAGATTGTTTTGAGGCTTTGGGAAAATTTTGTGTTCCCATACCGGCATACAAGTCATCATGATGATTTGAATGACACTGCCATTTCATAATGTTTCTTGATTATGGTGAGCTGATTACCAGATATTTGCAAGCTTATTATGTTGTATGTTTTATAATAGTATTTATGTCATTTGATGAGACGTAGCTCTAGACCAAGATGATTCCCTTAATTCTCAACAATTAAGAGTTCTACTATCATCTTAACGTACCCTTGCAGATTCAAGTATTCTTAAAGTTTTGACATAGTTCGATACCGATATCGATATATAGAATTCAAATTTATACTAAGTGACATATAAAATGCAACACCCAGAATTATTTATTGAATTTTGATAAAACATTTTTGCTATCATGGAAGTATACGCTGATAAAATGTTGAAGGAATTCTGAGCCGTACTTCTTTGTGAAGGCTTTTTTTGTCATATCAGGATCCGAACAATATGAATATGTTTACTTAATATCCAGGGATTTTTTTGTGTTCAATTTGTTTCATTGTTGTTTCATTGCATTATCATGCCTAGAGTTTGAGAGGGGTCGGATAATCGGGTTACGTGAAGCCGGACTTTCTTTTAGAGGAATCGCTAATCGGGTGAATCGAAATGGAGCTACTGTAATGAGATGTTGTCGAGCGGGGTTCCAAGAAGGCCGAAATCGACGAGTTAGAGGTACTGAACGACAAAGACAGACTACAGAGCGACAGGATCCTTATTAGAGGCAACTAGCGCTGCGTTTTTCCACAACAAGGGCAGTTGCGAGCCAGTGGTTTGATGCTGTCGGAAGAGCACGAACAACGAGGACACTTAATCACCGAATAAGGTCTTTTGGACTGTTTTCATACCGTCCCCATCTTGTACTACCTCTGACCCCACAGGATCGTCGGCAACGATTGGTATATAATAGAGAGAGACTTGAATGCAATATGGAATGGAACTCAGCCATGTTCAGCGATGAGTCCAGATACTGTTTGGGTACATATGATAGCCGTGCAAGAGGAAGGAGGAGACGGCATATTCATCGCGCTGTGGGTGGTATGGTATGGGGTGCCATTGCTTACGGCAGCATTTCACGATTAGTGTTCATTCGAGGTAGCATGGCTGCCCAGCGCTGTATACATGAAGTTTTACAACCACATCTACTTCCCTTTTTGGAAACTTTGCAAGATCCACTTTTTCAGCAGGACAATGCACGACATCATGTCGCACGTTTTAGTTTAGACCTTTTAGAAACGTCCGGAGTATATCTGCTTCAGTGGCCTCCTCGATCTCCAGACCTTTCCCCCATCGAACATGTATGGGTCATAATCGGAAGAAGGTTGTAAAATTCACCGCAGCCTCCTCAAACATTGGAGGCTCTACGGAACCAAATTCAGATGGCCTGGGATACAATATACATCAAAAAGACATCAATCACCTAATCAAACAGCTTCAACACATTATTAACATTAAGGTGATCCATCTCAGCTATTTTTCGAAATTTTGAGTTAAAATTTTAATTACTTTCTATTTATCAGTAGACCTAAACTTGTAAAAGTATGCTTAAAATTACAGCACACCTGGCCATTGTTGCATTTTCATGATCAGCATGAAAGCAAATACTCTTTCTCTCCTTTATTGTGAAGGTTAAATTATAGTTATCCTCATGTGTCAAGAACAGCGTCGTTTGCTACATGGAAGTATTGCAGAGGATGTAGATAACTGAATCAAAATTGAAACACTCACTGCCAGTATAGCTACCAAATTAAAAACCTTCTAAAGACTGTAAAATAAGTACAATATAATAAAAGAGGTATTTGGTAATATGTACATATATTCCAATATAGGCCTGAAAAGCGAGTTTGAAAAGAATGTACGAGTAGAATGTACATAAATATGTTGAGATAAAATAATCAAATATTATGCCTGGCAGAAAATATTTTAAATTTGGAGTGATATCTACATATTTTCGATATTTAATGATAATGAAAAGTTCATATTGTCGCTTAATGTTCTTTTTGGAAGCAATAAGGTGTTATTTTGTGTTATTTTTAAAAATCCGTGTGTATTGGCGGAGTAGCAATTAACAGAAAAAACTAACTTCGGAGCTTTAATCGAAAAAATACTTGAGGCTTAACATCCCAAAAAGTTGCGAGATTAATTTTGTGCCTTTCTGGCTACTCATCCAGGCTTTTCAATTTTTTTTTTATTTCAGGAGCTGTTTTCTTGGAAAAAATAGAGGAAACGCATGTGTTTTTTTGCATATCATTGGAAGCGTTTGATTTTTTCTGATCGATTTTTCAACTATAATAATATATTCTTGGATATTTTCTCCTGATAAAGCACTGCACTAATTTAAAATGTGTCTCAACATTTGGAAACGTAATTTGGCTGCAAGGTACTCGTTACAAAAATTCACTTCATTCTTTTCTCCTGACTTGTGAGCTTGTTAATACTTATAGGTCAAGCTATTTCATTAAAAAAAAATCGGCTGTTTTTTTTAACCCTCTGTCCATATTTAGGGGCCTACTCTTAATAATGTCTCATATAGAAGTGTCACCTTCATGTAGGTAATGTTTAGTTTATTTCAGTATTTTGATAGGCGAGAAATCTTTGACATACCTCTCTGGTAATGATGTTTATTTTCTTGGAGATTCCAACATTCCAGAGTTTTGTATACAGAATATCTCACCATCAGGCAGCAGCGGTGGCCGCAGTAGTAGACTCTTCGGTCTCCTGATCAGTCGCCGTGCGCTGTGCGGGTTCGAGTCCCGTCCCATGAGAAATTTTTCTCTTGGCTATGGATGTTGTGATTGTCCGTAGGTGGTAGACGGTCTCTGACTGTCGAACGTGGAGGTACCACCCGGCGGATCTCGTAGGCGGAGCCAGAATGTGTGCATGCTGCATGCACACGTGTTCCGTCGCCAGAGTCCGTGTGGCGTCCCCTCTTTTCCCTGTATCCCCCTATAGCCCCACGGCACCCAATGGGTGTTTAGGCCTTAGGCCTTCGTGGTAGTTGGTGTATAAAAAAAAATCACGCATATTGAATGTAGTTGACTCCTTTACAGCATATTTTGACTTCTTACAATACAATCAAATTCTTAATATTAACAATAGATTGCTTGACCTAGTGTTCTCCAACAAATCATGCTTGGTGACTAGAGCATACGATGACCTATTGCCCGAAGACTCAAATCATCCTCCACTTTGTATTACATTACACAGAAACTCTCGTAGCAAAACCTGGTCACAATCAAATGATGTTACCTTCAATTCTCGCAAAGCTGATTTTGTTACACTGTATGAACAATTGACACTTATGGACAGATCATTTCTTGAGGATATTGCGGATGTCAATATTGCTTGCACTCTATTCTACAATAACCTAATAAATATTTTCAACATGTGTATTCCGAAAACTAAGCGTACGCCTGGCAAATTTCCACCCTGGTACACTCGCGCAATGATCAAGGATACTAAACAAAAGAATTCACTACATAAATTATACAAAAAACGTCAAGAAGTGACTGTCTATGATACATTTAAAGAATTAAGATCCAAAATTAAAAGAGACGTTAGTCATGCGTATAAAAAGTACATAGAGCAGACTGAAAAATTGCATAAAAAAAGATCCAAATCAGTTTTGGTCCTTCATCAAAAGTAAAAGGCACAGTGGCCTTTCAACTTCTGAAATCACTTACAATGATTGTGTTTTCAATAACCCTGTTGATATAGCAAATGCCTTCGCTAATTTTTTCCAGTCTGTGTATTCTGCCCCCAATGTAGCAGCTAGGCCAGATGATGATATTATTGCTACAAACAATATTGTGCTGAATAGCTTCACAGAAAAGGAGGTTCTTATGGCATTAAAGAAAATGAAAAACAAGTTCACTACTGGACCTGATGGTATACCTGCATTCTTAATCCGTGATTGTGCACCTATTCTTGCTGCACCTTTATCTAAAATCTATAACCTAAGTATCAGATCACATACATTTCCTGAGATTTGGCGTGAAGCCAAGGTTCGACCTATCCATAAAAATGGAAGCTGTAAATTAATTGAAAACCATAGGCCTATCACTATTGTGAATAATTTTTCGAAAACGTTTGAAATGTTATTACATAATTTCATACAATACAACGTAAGTTCTTCAATTTCTACACCACAACATGGATTTGTAAAAGGAAGGTCGACAACAACAAACTTAGTCTGTTTAACTCAATTCCTAGCAGGTGTTTTAGATTCTAATGGTCAGGCTGATGTGCTATATACTGATTTCAGTAAAGCGTTTGATAGAGTCGATCATGGTTTACTACTGGGAAAACTAAATAGCATTGGCTTATCAAAAAATTTGGTATTATTATTTCAGTCGTATTTGTATGATCGCAAACTATATGTGGATTTTAACGGTGGTAAATCAATTCACTTTTTTCCATCTACTGGCGTCCCACAAGGATCTTCCTTAGGTTCACTACTATTCGTCATTTTTATTAATGACTTAGTTAATACGATTGACTGCAACATTCTGCTCTACGCGGACCAAGTAAAACTGTACTGGCAAATTGATGATCCATCTAGTTTCTTTTATTTACAAAGGAATCTTGACAGACTGTCTGAGTGGTGTGCTGCTAATAAACTTCCTATCAACGTGAGAAAATGTAAATCTTTAACTTTCACTAGGAGAGTAAATTCAATTACCAATAGTTATAAAATTAACAACATTCCTCTTCAGACTTTAGAGGAGTTCAGGGACCTAGGAATAATATTTGACAGGACATTGAGCTTCAGTGCACACCTAACTAATTTAATGAATTCTGCCAACAAAGCACTGGGATTCGTTATACGCAATTCAAGAGAGTTTATCGGTACCACAGCACCTACAGTGCTGTACAATTCGTTTGTTCTTTCTAAGCTGGAATACGGAAGAATAATCTGGAACCCATGCTATGTTACCTCATGTGACTCATTGGAAAAAATTCAGAGGAAGTTCTTGAAGTATTTATCTCTCAAAACTGATGGTGTTTATCCTCCTATAGGGATTTTACAAAATAACTTATTTGAAAAGCATATGTTTGTCAGCCTTGATGATAGAAGAAAGATACAATCTTTAGTCTTTTTGTTCAAAGTTATAAATTACCAATATGACTGTCCATCATTTTTGTCTATACTAAATTTCAATACACCTAGAGTACGAACAAGGGCCAACTTTGCCTTTTACCTACCTACCCCACGAACGAATCTACTGCTGCACTCACCGCTATATTCGATATGCTCATGTTATAATGACTATATGAATTATTTTGATATCTTCAACACATCCATTTTTATTATTAGGAGAGTATGTAAAGCGGTAGTTTTTTTAGAGCTACCACAGTTTGATTGAGCTATGATCAGTGGTAGCTTTTCATGGGTTCTTATTGGTAATTACTAAGCAATCAATGCAATTAGTTTATTTTGTGATTTTTATATATATATATATATATGTACGGTATTTCCCACCAGTAATTGGTTTATAAACTGTTGGTGGTGTAATTAAATAAATAAATAAATAAATAAATAAATAAATAAATAAATACAACTAAATAAAAATCAATGATTCTGCTTAACAGCGTTTATTAACATATCGTAAAACTATACACCAGACTTGTTTTCTCATTTTTATATTTAGTACATCATCTTGTAGGGCATCATTTTGTGCATCATGTGCATCATCATGATGTTGCATCTTTCGATACCTGCAAAATACAAAAATAATTTATGATAGTATTATGTTTAAGCAAAAAATATGATGTGCCGTCGGGAATCAGTGTCCATGTTCGGCACTTGATTCTAACTGATTTCTATGTCGGGGTAGTCAAGTTAGTGACGACATTTTCATCGCTGGCCATATGTATGACGGCAAGGCGACATTGAAAGTAATTTCAGTACTCAAAATCTACTAGTCAGGCCCTTGGTTAAAGCGGGAAGCACATTAAATCTTGCTTGGGCAATCTTGAGTGCGACGAGATACGAAAAAGCATAGATGTTATCGTATAGGTATAGCAGTTTCATTATGTTATTATTTTAAGAAATATATTCTCACGATGTATGCCAGACACTTCTAAGGTTGATTGAATTAGATACAGCCGAAGTTCGAAACTCGAGAATATTCCGGTTTTTGGTTGAATTTCTTTAATCACACTTTTTTGAATCATTAATAACTTGGCAGGTAAGTCTCTATTTTAGGCAGATATATGAATACCCACCGAAACGCTGATAGCACATCATCTTGTCCACAGAGGTCATTCCATGTTTGAACATCATCTTGTCCATTATCATGGGGTCAACCATCCCTCTGAAAATAAAAAGTGTTTCAGTTGTTTCATTCATTGCTGTATGGTACCTCTTATCATTTCGTGATAGACATGTTTTTGGTTGAAGAAAATACGTTAAGTGTAGATCATTTTTATACATCATTCTTAACAAAAATGAAGAAAAGGATCGCTACTCTCAATACAAGAAAGCATCAGGATCTATAAGTGGGGTTGAAATTTTTGCATTTAAATATTTTAGGACATATTTATTTCAAACTTTCATCAACATTTTTTATTGTAATATACTTAATTGTTTTTAGAATATTTTATTATTTAGTATTCTTATATGACTGCATGGTCTTAAAACTTTATACTTATATATATATATATAAAACTCAATGAGATACAAAACATGTATAGGTACACATAAAGGTGTCTATTAAACATTTATAAAATCAAAATGACGGATTCTTAGCGTAGATTTCAACTTTGAAATTCCTATTTCACGGGCTACAGCTCAAACTGTTTAAGGTTAATGGATTTTGAGATTTGAGAAGTTCGGCGCTTCCAACCGAAATGAAAAGGTTCGACGCGCAATTTGTATCGCTCCGACATTCATTCGATATTTGTTTTCACAGCAATATCTCCATTGTGTAATTCTGAAAGAGTGTGTACATCTTTTCATCTTTCTAAATAAGTATTTTTTTAGTAATTCAGAAATAATAGAGCGGTGACTTTTGCTTTCCATATCCATAGATAAATTCTAAACAATTTCTATTTCGCACGGACTACAGCCCAGACGGCTTGATGGACTCTAACGTTTGATAGCACAACTAAAGCCTTAACTCTTTTCAATTACTGTAGTCGAGTTTTTATTTTTTTAAATGTACTTGTTTTTATTTTTTCATTTAGTTTTGTAACTAGATTTTGAGTAGAAAATATTGTGACCATGCGCTTATATAAGAATACTTCACTTAGATCATTTAAAATTGCGTACTTGGAGCTTTTAAAAAACAGCCAAGCACTAAGACAAAAATAAGTGCTCATGAAAGCTTAATATATATATATATATATATATATATGTGTGTCTTTAAATATTAAATTAAAATTTCATAGATGCGATCAACTTGAAATCTTGAACTGAAAGACGAGGCTTACCTCATGCGCATGTCACCAACCATATCACCTCCGAACATGCCGTAATCAATCATACCAGGGTACATTCCGGTGAAGCGGTGCAAGTCCCAGTCTTTCATGCCCATACCCATAAGTCCGTAGTTGCGGTGAGGTCCGTACATGTCCATACCTAGCTTGTGCATACCTCCCACGCCTGTCCACAGAGTGTACATGGGGTCGTACATTCCCGTCATGCCCATTAAGTCACCGCCCATGTATCTGTAATGTGAGGTTAAAATAAGAAGTAATCTCCACTGAAATATATTTATAAGCATAAACTAATTCACACTCATGGCTCTTGAACTCTTAATAGAATTTTCATTAAAAAAAGGGGATTGAAGGTAGTAATCTTCAATAAAGTACTAAGAAAACCGTCCGAGTAGTTATTGAATTATTATTACTATCTACATCTCAATATAAGCTTTGAAAAAATATGCAAATGTTCATGAAGATGAACGAACAAAAGATTAGAAGAGGCAGAAGAGGATTGAAAAAAGAAATCTTAAATGGCAGTATAAATGACTTTAAAAAACATCATTTTTATTCGGAACAACTTATCGCAAATTTAGTACATGTTCTCCCAATAATTTAAACGGAGTTTTCCTAAGCATCTGAATTGCGGCAATAAATGGTCTTTGGTCTGCACACTGAAGAGTGCTCTTATATCTAGAGTAACTATCTTGAAATGCAGAAATCGTGGCTTTCAAATCATTAAAATATCTTTTTGAGTTAAGATCTTCATTTCTTAAGTTTCAAGAATCTGATGATTATTAACTCAAAAAATTTTTCATATCATTTCAAAGGTATCGAAATTTTGGAGCAAGAGTACCTATAGAATCTCAAAATTGGGAGCATGGTACAAATGAATCCTTTCCTTAACTGGAAAAAACACATTTCTTTGGAGCAATAAGTCTACTTCGGGCGAAGTGCCCGTGATGTTATAATTTTCACAAACTATTTGCGCTTTATTCAGTTTCTAGTAGAATAAAAAGTGTTGTAGATCTATGATATGCTCAATTTCTGCGTTCCTGCGTTAAACTCTCGTTGCTATAAGATATTTTACTGGTACTCTGAAGTATTCATCACTGTTTGTAAAATATGCAATTCAAAGAATATAGATAATAAGTTTTTTATCTGGGTAATAGTTTTTGTCATTAAATTTGATTTTATTTATCACTTTACTTTTTCCTGCTTATTTTCCGCTCTCTGTTTTATTACATTTTATTAGTCATCAATACGTTATCTGATGATAGTACGTTCATTATCTCCTGTAAATTGATTTTATATGTTGGATGATGTATAAATAAATAAATGATACCGATTCAAACAGCGAATAAGCCCGGAGTCACAAAAAAGGTATGAAATCATACTCATGAGAATACTCTACAGTCTACAGTGATCGCTGCGATACAGTTTTGTTTTGCTCCACTAATAAGCAATTCTTATGTTCTGTTATACGACTTATCTATGCATCTGATTTCTCAAATAATTTCTTTAAGGTCTATATGTCTGCCTTACATTTTTAGTTACAGTGTCAAATTTTTGAGGAAAAACTTTTTATTTAATATCTTCGAAAGTACTATTTTATTTTTATGTTTACATGAAAATCATTTCATACTATTTCCTTCTTTTTGATTGAAACGTTAAAATTGTAACTGATACCAGAAAAAATATTCACATTGAAAAATATCAGTGGCGAACGAATTTTTTTGCAAAAGATATCGCACGGCATGTTTGCACCGAGTAGCACAATCTTTATAGTAAAATATTTTACATCTTCTTATGATATGCTGAAATTTAAAATAATATTTAAAGTACCTACTTTAGAAGACAAAAATAGAAACGATTTTATTCTTAAAAATGCACACATGTACCATTTTTTCAAAAAATTATGTGAGGAACCCTAATGCTGTATTAGCACGTCCTTTATATAGGATTTCACACCTTTTTTGCGGCTCTAAACCTATTTCATTGCTTCAATTAATATTAGATAACTATAACAAAAAGAGATACTTACTTCGTGGGCAGGACATCGTAAACCGGAACTGCGCTAGCTGCGGCCAGCAAAGCGCTCAAAATTGCTACGAACTTCATTTTCAAAGGAGATGGTCCTATCAATTCAATTAATTTTTCAATTGGAGGATTGGTAGTAGATGCTTGTTTCTTCAGGCACGAGAATAATGATGCTGCTTTTGCATCAGTTTGCGCTTTATATGCTATTCTTTTATCTTTATCGTATGGCTATTTCGCATGTTTGTTGCTGGAAAGGTTCGGCCGTTATTTTGAACTTGAGTTATCTTTTCGAGGTTAGTATAGTATGGTGTAATTTATTAGTTAATTATGACTAATTGCTGGGGACGATATTCTCTTTTTCTATATAGAATATATTCTATGCAATTAAAGCGATTGATAACTAGCGACCAGTAGGTTGACTCCGCACTTCCTACGTAACGCTGCCATGGTTTCAGAGAGGATTATGATCGATACATATATAGCAAAGAACTTAAACGGATCACGACACTCAAACATGCTCATACAATTATTCCATAGAAATTTTTCTCTGCTCTAACAACAGTGCGCCGACCATCGGACAAGTTGTTATGACCAAAGAATACAAAGTTACCAGTAGAAGGGGCACTCGCGAAAAAGCCTTTGATCTTCTGGCTTCTAAAGATACCGACAAGTTTGTAAAAACTCGGATCGTTTTTTAGGTGCCTCAACCGAAGAGGTCCCGCACTTTTTTTATTGCTTTATACAGAGTAGTGCTGTCTTACTTTGGCGCACGTACGAAATAGGTTGTGAAAACATTGTTTGTAATGGTATCCAGTAATTGTATTTATACAGGATGATTCGTCATTCTTCTTCAAAAGTTGCGAGATAAAAAATTTAGCCTCTTCGTTACTGACCGGCGGGGATTCATCGTAGTTGTCATTTCGCAACCTCAGTAACCGCTGTTGCGATTTTGTCAAAACTTGGAATATACAATATGGCCACAAGTTTGAATATGGAGCTGAGTTGAATGAAAAACAAATCTTTCTTACATTTTCTTATCTGTAGTTAGGTAAAAAGCTGAAATAAAGAATATCAAATAACGCAATAGAAATGAAATGAGACTTCTATAAGCTACAAAGAATATGGAATGAATGCCACTGCAGGAGGTGTGCCATTAGTAACTTTCCTAAACAAATGGCTAATAATGGACAGCTGTGCTATTGGTAACTCTTCAGGTGTAGACTTGGTCTCAGGTAGGACAAGGAACGAAAGCTGAGCAACTTATATCCTCTATCCATAGTACAACGTCTATCGAAATAAGTCAGCACAAAGTGCCATCTGTGACCAGAATCGACCTCTGCGAATTGTTTTCATTTGCGCAATGGTCGAACAGATCCCAGTTTGTTCTGTCTTATTTCGATAAATATATAGATGAGTTAATGTTCTCAATTTCGGATTATCTTTATTTGTCCCAGTAGTGACTATATCCGTGTTGACATATTTGAATTGAAAATAAATACAAGAGTGAGTGAAACTGACGCCCAATACTTCAGTTTTCAGTCGTTGTCTACACAACCAAGTTTGAAATATTTCCTTCAATTCCGTAACATATTCAACGAAGCTCCGTATAGGCACTATCAAGCCTCTAAGTTAAACCTCTCTAAATAAAACTACACATCACAGTTTTGTGATATCGCCTTTTTTCATACTAGTACACTCATGAATCATAAATTTTGGATGGATCTCCTTCGTCAGTTATACCTCGACCTGAGTTCCTGTGTACTTGCTTTAGCAAGGCATGGGAACACATTTTCCTGCTTTATATCGCATCCAGGCACGCAGCACCAACGTGTCATAGCGAATCGCCCTGTACACATCCAACAGCCACGCGATCGACGGGATCGGATGCCGGCCATCTTCTACCTGGGTAGTTATAGTACAGGAAGTACCTTCGCATCTGTTCATAAAAATATGGTTATTGTATTTTTGCATAATCGCATTAAAAAACGTTTTAATGGCTCTGCATGTTGCTAGACCCAAAATTACTTCAAAGATTGCTTTTTTTTATTAAGGTTGTGCCAAAAACCTAAACTGTATCCATCGAAGAAACAAAGTAAAATCAAACATATACACCCGTATTGCACGTGATCAAGAACTTAACCGTAGGAGACGCTACAGGGCCGTATCAAGCTATTGTGACTGATCTATCAAAAAATGTCGTACAAGATATGTGTTGCTGTAAATTCTATCAAAAGCATAGTAAATTATCAGGAATATACCACGCCTTTCTAATCATATTTCGACATTAGGAATCAGTGCAAAAAATTCTGTATTCACCATTTCAGCAAAATGTTACTAAAACGCACACGAAAAAAACTTGTGGACCATCTCAATTGAAATTGTTCATATTTTATTATTAACTTACATGTATACCCAATATTATTTATTAAAATTTACATGAGAAATAGGAAGAAGGTCAAAATGGCACTATTATGCTTTGGAACTCCTAAATTAACCCTAATTTTGTGTAATTATAAATTTGGAATTTCCACATTAATAACTAGAAACTTACACTTTGATTGCAGTCTATAATGAACTTACCTGTCTTGCCAAAAAGCCCGTTAAACTGCCAGTCTTAATGGTATCAATCGATTTATATGCTGTATTCCAAGGAGCTTGAATCATCAGAATTGTTGATGTCAATTATAAGGGGTTCAACTTGGGTGTCAATGATATTGTCCATATCCCACATTTTGGTTTCAACCTTCTCTTGGACATGGTCAATACATGTTCTCCATTTTGCTGGCGTAATTCTATCGACAGCAACATCAAACAGCTTTTTAAGGTCAGAAAACTTAAAAGTGCTGTTATTTGACGCCACGTATTGCTTGATGTCGGCCCAAATCAACTCGATAGGATTCAGTTCGCAGTGATAGGGAGGCAGCCTGAGAATCGTTTTATTTTGGTTTTTGGCCATTTCGTCAACAATTTTTAAATCATATTTATACTTATGTCGCTTGACTATATTTATCAGCTCAGCTTTGACCATTGTTTGGTCGAAGTCGATCTTCTTTGAGACAAGCCACTGTTGAATGTCTGCCTTTTTGGTGGCCATTGTTGGAATTTTTTCCAATTTTCTGGAGTGGTACGGGGCATTATCCATCACAATAATTGCGTTATCATCAAGTGTCGGCAAAATTTTTTTGAACCAATTTTCAAATGAGTTACCATCCATTTCTTCGTGATAGTCTCCAGTTTTTTTGGATTCAAATGCCCACAATGCTTCAGGAACAAATCCATCTACGCTACCTATGTGGCAAATGATCAGGCGTTTTCCCTTGCCTGAAAGTAATTAGTTATTTTACTTCTCAGCGAGCGCACTAAATGACGAAATTAAGCAACTTACTCTTTTTAGGTTAGTGTAGGATAGGGTCTTAGATTAGTTTTTGGGTGAAGGAAATACTCAGAAACTTGGATGAGATAGCAAAACTGAGTTCGGAGCTTCCAAATCATTGATTCGATCAGAAAATGAATTATCTGCATCCAAAAAAGTTCATATACTTCGAAACTTACCTGCAGGATTTTTCAATCCCGTCGAAAGGCCATCTAAAAAAGCCTGCCTTGAGGACCTCACAGATCTGACTACCCAAACCTTTCCCTGCGTATGCCCCGCGTTCACCCATGTTTCGTCTAAATAATAAATTTTTCTTCCTTCAGCGCGGAATTGCCTAATTTTTCTAAGGTATTCTCTCCTCCAGATAACAATTTCCTCCTTTTCTATCAATAAACTATTCTTTCCTCTTTTCAAAAATCGAAAGTCTAGTTCTTTCAACAGCTTATGGAACGTAGATCTTTTAAAATTTGGCAGGTCCTCATCATCATTCACTTGCTTCAATATTTTATCTATTGTAGGTATTTCATTCCTGAAGAAAAAGTGATGTACTTTTCTTCTAATGGCACTTTTGTCAAAGTCATCTATTTTTTCGATGATTTTTTTTCTCGCTGGATATGTTTTTGGCCCAGATAGTGAGTGATTTTGTCTATATTCCTTCAAGATTTTGTAAACACTTGATCGACCTACTCCAGAAATTTCAGCAACCTTACATACGATATTTTCTATAGCCAATCCACTATTCTCTTGCATCTGGTTGTTGTAGATATTTAGAATAATTTGTTTTCCACCTGCGCTAAGATGAAGCTTTTTAGCCCTTTTTCTGGGTGACGTTAAGCTGATTTCAACCACTTCATCAGCTGTATCTGTGTCAGACATTTTAGACTAATATTAAATTTCCGCAAGAAAAATCAAGTCAAGACGTGCATAAAACGTTCGCGCTCATAAACGGGTATCCGTAACTGATTAGAATCCTGTGCGTGGTGACGAACCATCAACGTGACGCTGAGAGTTCCCTCTACTATGCAGCGTTGCCAGGCTTAATGTCACAATGATCATGTTTTATTGGGAAAATTGTCAGAAATCGCCGAATGTTGAACAGAAACATTACAAGAAGTCTAACCTTGAAATGTGAGGCTACAAATCGATATTCTTATAGGGGGGAAGGGTAGGGAGCTGTTATGGTTCCTATTAACCTTGGTGAAAGTTGGAAACGGTAATATCATATATGGCATACATTCGGTTGAAGGTGTGTGCACGGAAAATAGATTGCGGATAGGATTTTAATAGATAAATCTGCACAAAAAAACACAAAAGGAGATTTTTGTATTTCCCTGAAGAATATCTCAAGATTATTTCAGATGTACTCATCGAAACTTTATGGAAGGATTATCGAAACCTTATTTTCAATTGCGGTAGGGCCACATACCTCGACATCGCATTAATGTGAAAAATAAGACAATAGAAAAAAATTCCCTCACTGATGCTATCTCTTAGGAAAAATTTAACTATAAAGATTGCACAAAAATTTTCTTCACCTTTTTGAGCTTGTTTTCGCATCTCCGTATATGCCGTTCATAATTTGCTGCAGATCAAATTGGAATATACCTTTGTGATGCCATTTATTGTTATATAATGTCCTTTACAACAGTTATTGCACGTATTGCACCAACAGATTGATTTGTGATCCATGCGAATGTGATCAACCACTCTGGCGAAAACTCGCCGAGCGTGGCAACCGTGCGACTTTGTCTGGAGGCTCGTCGCTACAAGCCACTCAGGAAGAGGCCGACAGAGCGCCATGGCTACCGATCACGCGTTGATCACGAATCAACCACTGTTTACGATTACTTTGTAGCTTCGTTAGATACACTTTAATCACAATGTTTTTCCGAACAGATGCGAAGATACTTCCTGAACTATTAACGCAGGTAATGAATCTCAGCCACCGTGGCAGAATCTGTTTTTTCGATGGAGTCTCACTTGATAGCTGATACCTGTCTGTTGGGCGACGGAGAGGTAGCCAGAGACCAGACGTATGATGATAAAATAGATGCGTAGAATTGACCACCCCCTACAACTCCCAACACCAAATTTTTATCACCTACTTGAATTTTTGCAAAATGATCAGGGCCTCTGAATCGTCATTAAGCGAAATTTGAACAACTTAACCGATTTTCAAAACCAGAGCTTTTCCTTCCTTAGGGAGGAATTAATAACCAAATTCCATCAAAATCCAAGCGTACTTTGGGAAAGTTTTAGTCGGGTCAAGGATATATCGGACAGACAGACCGACGGAAATAAGTGACATAGTTGTTTATCATGTAGATGCCATATAACATCCCAAAAGTATAATATTCATTTTCGAAACGTTACAGTACTTCCTGGCCAGTGATATATTGGACTGAGAGATGCTTCGAGTTAAGCTCAAAGTTTTCCGAATAATTCTTCACACCATTAATCACAACTGACATAAAATAATTGCATAACGTGATATTTAATTGGTCGTAAAATGTTGCAAAAACAACTGATTATTTTGTATAATTGTATTGTAAGTTTCACAGCAAAATAACAGCAATGACGGGTCAGATTCTACACTTCACTGACCTGCATTATCTCATGTTTTACGTGTTTCACACGTTCATACGAGAGAACAAAGTTTCGAATTTGTATACGTTTTTATAGTGTTATGACTTTTATAAAGTGTTACATACTATTTTGATCTTTTTAGACCGAAACAGCCACGTAGGCAAAACCTATATACCACAGTAACGCTACAGCTATAAATAAGCTGAAGTAACTAAGATAATAATATTTTCTCTAGGATATACCAGTTTAATAGATAGATAGATCGGAAACGGTTCTCGATGTACAGTCTGCGAAAATCAAAATTCTCCAATTTTGGATCAAAAAACAACCCTGAAAATTGCCTGAAATTAAGTAATCGTATAATACTCTTCGGGATCTTATAATGGAAGGAACTTTGGACAAAAGTGACTGAATACCTTTCTTACTCAGAATGATTCGAAAAGTCAGCTTAAAAATGCTATGAGCCGACTTTTTAAGTATTAACTTTACAAAGAGCATGGCCTTCCATGGTCCACCCATCTTATTTGAGTATTTCAAAAGATTGTTGCTTTCTTTGTGTAGAAAAAAGCAAATAAACAACTCTAGAAATATTTGTACTAAATAATAATGATTTCTAATCGTAAACTGCTTTCAGAGGGAACCGTAATTTTCAGAATTTTGAAACGTACAGCCGAGTTTCAGTTAAATACCACGGAGAATCTTCCACTGTACCAGAGCAAACCTTTGCCCTTACCTAAAAGAAGTGCTTTGTTCTTGGAACAAAGTATGCGAGAACAGCAAACCGCTCTTGGTATGTTAGATCAGCAAGTCATTAATAGAATAGAATTTCTGAAGAGAATCAGATTGTTGGTTCTTAAGTTTTTTAACTATTTTTTTTTCAAATTTTCAGATATGCATCAAAGCTTTCAACAAGACTTAATCAAATTTCGTTTAGATGCAGCAAGAGAACTAATAAAGACGGAATTTGCTGGTTCAAATACAGCCAATCTAAAAGAAAAGATTAAAATTTCAGCCCAGGTAAATTATAAGTCCTAATTTGTTTGAATTCATGTGAAAATATTCGTAACTCGTATTTTTCAACTTTAGGTGTTAGGAATGGGCCCAAAATTTGAAGTTATATTCAATTTGGATAACATGGAAGAAAGTAAACCGATATATGGACTCAAAATGGTTTTGCATGTCAATCCAAAGTATTATCAATGTTCCTCCAATCTAATATCGGTAAGTTAGATGCAAAACGGTCCGGCACTTCTGATCTTCATGATTTTTAATTTATTTTTCAGATACCATTAATACCGCCTGGTTCATCTCACAAAGTTAAAGTATATGTGGAGGATAAAATGGTAGACCCAGAGAACAATCTGAATATACCTTCAGTTGTAAGGGTATTTATAATACGAGAAACAACCAGCGAACCAGTTTTGGCAGCATTGATTAACATGCCACCAATGGAAGCTACTCTGGCTGATCCGGGAAAAGCTTGATGTTATTTAGAAACAAATAAAGCTTGCTGGCATCAAAGTTATGTAACTTCGACATGTGGAAATACAAATAAAGACTGTCACAAGGCCGGATCCAGGAGGGAGTCATGAGAGTCATGACCCCCTCGACCACTAAGTTTTTTAGTCTTATAGAAAATTCTGATAAGCGATCTCAACATGGAAATGCTTTTATGCTACACTATCACTTAGTATAGCGACAAGCAGACAGGTTTTCCTCCACTCTTAAAACGCTCAAAACAGTTGAGTGGCAGTTCTTTACGTCCACAAAATGAATGAAATGTTTTTTAATTAGGTTTATTACTTTAATCGCATTAGGGCTTGTCCTGACTGGACTGGTGACAAATTGTTCTGTTTTTAATCATTGAATAAAGTAACGTATGAAAAATACTTTAATTTTAAAAACATTTCTTCTCTCTGCGGTATACCTAAGAAGGTCCTGAAACTAATGGCAACTCTCAATATAATTATTATTTGATGCTTTTGAATGCTGACGATATTTCCAGAAAAGTCAGTTTTTCTTTCTTGCATGATAACATAATCAGATTTTCATTTTAACTCAAGTGGGAAATTTCAAAATATTTCCTCGTTTGCCTTCTATATAATAAAATACTTCGCTGTTGGGGTTTGCTTCAAAAATGTCTATTATAACTACAATAGCGACACAGTTTCATCTTGAAATGGACACCTATGTTGATTGATTGAGAAGCGTCAAATAAGAGTACGAGGTCTTTATGATCTGAAATAAATAATTTATTAAAAATTAAGGTCAATATTGAATAAAAAACGTACCATCATAAATAGTGGATAGTTCAGACTTCCAAATGGGAGGGCATCAAAGAAAATCGCTTTTTGTGATCTAAACATCATGAAAGCTATATCTTTCTTCTGTTCAACAGTGCCACGGTGCCAATCCGAAAAGTAAATGGCATCTGTTACAGAAAGAGACTGAAAAAAATAGCAAATGCCATCAAGCAGTTTGATGTTAAGAAGCTTATTATAATAATTTTGTTCGATGATCTCCAATATAATGATAAAGTTAACTCTAGAACTTAAAACATAATAATTGCCTACTAAAATGTACCAAATATGTTGAACTTTTGAAATTGCAATGATTTGAGCTTGATAGTATGATCAAAATCGATTTCTTATCACATATTATAGTGTATTGCTTCCTGTGTGTCATTGCTATGTTCTTACTTCGTCTCTTATTTTCTGACCTGCGTGACAGATAACAAACATTGCTATCACCCAACCAGCTAAAAACACGGATGCCCCGAGCGGTTTGCTCTGAAAAAATATTTGAATAAAACTTCCGTAATTTATTTTTTACGGAATGGTCACCTTGAATATTTGATTTCCAATACAACCAAATACTAGGGCAGCGACCAAGGAAACATGTCCAACTGTGGCTTGGACCAACCTGTTAAGCTGATCTGAAATACTGATAAAGTTGTAGAAAAACGTTAGAATTTGAGCTATTTGATATCCTGTAAGTCAAGTCTTCGTCAACACAAAGTCTACGTAAACTATGTCAAGTTAAAATAACTACGAGATCTGTAAATTAGGTGATGAGACTGATTTTTTTATACAAATATAATTATAGTTTTATATTGTCACCCTCAAAATAAATTCCTTTTAAAACCACACAGCGCTGGAGACGGTTCTTCTATTCTTCATAGCAGTGTTGGAACTCCGATAGGTACTGGAGTAGCCTTCAGTTCAGCTGGTCAGTTTCAGCCGTTTGCTTGTTTTGGACTGTCCCAAAATGAGTTCCCCTGAGGTGATTTTTCTACTTCGGGAAGAGAAAAAAGTAGCAAGGACTCAAGTCAGGCGAATAAGGAGGCTGAGCTGGCCGCATAAGGAGACTGAGGAGCAGCAGGAATGTTTTTACTGGCCAAAAACTCGTTTATTGACATTGCTGTCTGTGGGGGAGTATTATCGTGATGCGACACCCAGTTGTTCTATATCTGATAATCGGTGGTGTGAGTGGAATTTAACTCTTCCCCGATCATTCTGACTGGCAACTGACGATTTGAACGCACAAGATCTCGGATTCTGTCGATATTTTCCGCTTAGTGGGTCATCTTCAATCGACTCTCTCCCTTCTGAAAATGCCTTAAACCAATGAAAAACCTGAGCTCTTGACAAAACACTATCGCCGTAAGCTTGCTGAAGTTTAGCAAGAGTTTCCGTTGATGTCACTTATTTTTATAACACAATAGGAAAACTGTTTTGCAATAAAAATCGCTACAGACAACCAAATGACTTGAGCGAGTTCATAAATGTACTGAAGGCGGGTAACATGTTCCACTGTGTTCCAGTGTTACCAGATCGAACGCTACGTTGCCAGTCTCATCACTCAATTTACAGGCCTCGTATATGAATTTTAAAATAAAAGCAAAAAACCTATCATAATGCAAGTATTCTACACCCTATATATTCACTGAAATATGTATACTTTCGGAACCTTGTGTCTCTGGTCTGGTATAACGCTTAGAATGAGAACGCTGCATTTATAACGAAGTTTTTCTAGACGCCAGAGAAAAAATTGTTGCATCTCTTTCTAAGATTTCGATTGATTCCTTACCTGAATATGAACTTATGGTATTCCACGAGGACCCGTAACCGCTCTGTAGCATTATCCACATCGTCGAACACCTCGAGTAAATGCTTTTTCAAGTGACTGACATGGGTGAGCAGTACTTCGGTAGCTTCCCATGTAAGAAAACAGATAAGAGCGGCAGATGAGGTGATATGAAACGCCGCTATTGTTTGTAGGGTGAAGAAGATTAGTTTGAGATATACTGGTATTTGCTTCAAGGGAAGCCATGTTGGAGTTACGCTCCAGCAGATATCGTGAAGATCATATTGTTTGTTTATGGCTCTGAAATAGCAAAGCAACTCTATAGCCAGCGTTGATAAAGTGCCTGGACAAACTTCAAGGTTCGGTTCCTTAGGTTTTATTCTAGGTTTTGTAATGTTTCGTTTTTGAAAACTGAGTTTGTCGATAAAATCCTACTACTCCTTACAGATTTTGCTAGAAGGACTCCACAGAAACCTCATGGAGAATGACTTCCGGCAATTTTTTTTAAGGATCCCAACACCTAGAACAAAAGTGTATAATAGGGCCCAAATATTTCCCTCAAGTAGTTTTTGTGCTACAGGGCCTCCAAGTCGGAAGTCCGAATCCTATTAGTAGCTGTTTCATATTTATTTACGTCCTTATCATCATCTCTTCTGGCCGGTTTGAGAAAATTGTAATTTTGTCACATGTACAGTATGGCTCAAACTGGCATCGTTGGATAACAGAGTTGCTTTTTTAATAGATACCTATAGTTTATAGTTGGTGAGATATTTTTTCTGCATTTTGTTTAAAAATTTTCAACCATGGCAACCAGTACCTCGCCCTGTTTAATAGATTACTAACTTGATTTTCTGTCTTCAGTCGCTACCTGGTTCACCCATTCTTTGAATTATTCCAGTCAATAAAACGTTCAATTATTATTATCTCATATTTCAAATTTCACTATTCCTTGTTACTTTTAGTTACCCAACCAAGAGTTACAAAATTAGGCTAATCCATCCAAAAATTCAAAAAGGTCGAGATACAGGTTGTAACTTGTAATATTTGAAAAAAAACTGTATTGATATGCAGCTCAGAAATGGGACACCTTGTATATATCCTGAATATTTTTCTGTATAGCGGTTATTATAAGGATGATGATAAGGTTGTTTAATAAACAACTATTTCATATTATTTACCGAACTTACAATACGCTGTAATAGGAGACGGACCCTCGAAAAGTAGGGGAGAGCGGGCCTGAAGGTGCCGATTTTGACAAATCGTCCTATAAATCCGATAAAACACATAATACGACTAGAAATTGTGGTTTATCTAAAGCAATATTTAATCTAGTTTATGAATTTTATTTTTAGTACATCTTTAACAGTTTTTGACAGATACAGACTTTTTTGAGAAGAGGTCGAGATGCACTACCAACCCCGCTCTGGGGCAAGTTGTGCCATAGCTGAGGTCGATTGTGCCGTTCCTGATATTTGGTAATTTATTTAAATATATAAATAAGTTACAAACACAAAGACAAACATTTTATAACTTTATTTGCATTAATAGGTATAAAGAGAATTAAACAAAAATCAAACAACATTTATTATTCTAGATATTTTAAACTTAAGGTATCTTCTCTATTAATAGTTAGCATTTATTTTTCAAGGCAAATCTATACTATCAAGTATAAATATCAGCCTCAATAGATATCGTAACGAAAAATAATCAAACTTTCTTCTAGATTTTAAAGTAACTGAGATCTATCTTCGTAACTATTAACTAATTAAACAGTGTCTCCAGTTGGTGGCACTAATGAAACGTAAACATATTGAAAATAAACTTATTCTACACAAGACTGGTCAGAATAGCAATTAGAACATACAAATGATAAGCTGTCTTCATCTTCAGGACATGGCGAATGGGTCCAATTCTTACAATCTCTGCATTCAATCCAATTTTCTCCTGGAGCAGAGTTAGAGTAGGCATCACAACATATGATACAGTACCATTCTAGTTCATTACTCTCTTCACTGGAACTCTTATCACTTTCCTGGAGGACCTTTCTTTTTGCGGGATTCTTGATCCTCTTTTTCATTTGGTTTCCATCTTTTGCTTACCCCTTTTTTTAATATTCTTTGTTGGCTTACTTTACTTATTCCTTTTCTTGTTAGCCTGTTCTTCTGCCAAAGCATTTTTCTCAGGAGTATCCGTAAGAACTTTCTTTTACGCCATTTATTAGCTCCAGTTAATCGAGGAGGTGCTTTGGGCAATGGTCTTATTGATTCCGGTGAGAAATACACAGCGCCTTTATCTCCTCTCCTCCTCCCACGCTCTGGGGTGACTCATCCTTTTCACAGCTTGCATTAACTATTTTCTGATCAGCTGATGGTACACAGTCATTTACACAGTAAGGATGCTGAATACTTGAAAGTTCTGATTCACTTGTACAGTCATTAGGCTGCGGATCCTGCTGAATTGTTGATGGACCAGTCTCAACAGTGCTTTCCATACAGATTGTCTCCTCAAGATCTTCAAGGACGCTTTCTCCAGTGCTTAAAAGGCCATGCAAATTCTCTTTTTCGTGGAGGGTTTGGCTTTCCGACCTTGGGCGATCAGTGACTAAAGGCGGTGCAAAATCATCATCTCTAAAGATATTAGAATCAAAGGGCCAAATACCAACCTAGGTGTTGCTGCCAGAGGAAAAGCGTATTTGACCATTCCTGGTATTTCATATTTCCGGGATTCGTTCTTAGCCAGTTGCTTTGGGTTTTAGAGCAGTAAGTTTTGAAAGGGCCATTAATACCCACATCTAGTGGTTGCAAGCGGTGGGCGCAATGTGGCGGGAACGATAATAATATGTCTGAGTTGCTCTTACCTTTTTCAATCACATCAGTATCAATGTGAGATGAAGGATTATCCAGGTGTAACAACACTGGCTCTGAAGGAGTTTAGTGTATTATATAAAATGATTCATAAACACTAGAAACTCTGTGCTTGTCATCCATCCGGGGCGGTTGCCAGCCCCAATGCATTCAGGAGGGCCGTCCCGGATAAGTAGGCTTTAGAATTTCAGACGTGGAAACACGAACATCGGTGGAATTGTGTTTCCCAAGGTACTTACCGCAAGCTCAACTGTAACTAAAGTTGCTACTTGCTTTATTCCTTTTTCTGTCACAATTTTCTTTGGTTTTAGCACAGTTTGGACGCCAGTCTCATCCAGGTTCCAAATACCAGAAGGCGTAAGATTATACTTGGTGATCAGGTCGCCAAGTTTTTCAAAGAATTGCTCCACGTGATGTCGGTTGACTGCGGTGTCCTTATAGAAAGTGTAGGGTTCCTTTTCAAAAAATTTGTCCACCAATCCTTACCGGCCTCGCCATTTTTGTGTCATGGTGGAATGTTTTGGACATTGAATTTTATTGCACACTGGTATGAAAGTTGTCGAACTTCTTCCGGGATAAGACCAAAGTAAATAGAGGCACTTTTCCGAATGTATGACGACAATAACATCTCTCGTTCTTCATTAAATACTACTCTTGACTTGTATCCAACCGTCGCAGTACGTCCACTCCTTATTTTTTTGACATAGCGTTGCATAGCTGTGTGACAAATTTCTAACTCACGCGCGACATTTTTTAGTTTGCGCCCTTCCACAATGACCGCTTCACCAACCCTCTGCATAAGATCTTGAGACGTAGTTCCCCTTTGTGATTGTCGCTTGTATGTCCTCATCCTGTCAAATAAGTTATTAAGTATTTAGTATTCTCAAGTAAACAGAAGACAATATTAGAATACTGAAAGGCACGTGGGGTCACTGGCCCCAAATAAAAAGCACAATTTACTCCGTTTGTAAGGTTATGACCTTTTGTTACATATGGAAAAAACACTCTGTACAAAGCATTCAAATTGCATTGTGTAACATTTGTAGATGACTAACAAACATTTTGTAAAATTTACATATCATAAGAACGAATTATATAAGCTTGAGACCAAAAAGTATAAACGTTAAAATATTTACTTACGTGGCGTTGGAGGGCACTCAAACACATAGCTACCTGGTCCGGTGTAATGTGAACGTATAGCTTTCTCTGTCTGTTTATGAGATATTCGCGTCGGCACTACTTACCCCCGACACTTTCAGCCCCGCTCTCCCCTACTCGTGGAGAAACTGTGAGCATATGGACACTTGTTCAACGTGTTGCTGTCTACAACATAATAAATTTTGAAAAAAATAGCCGAACGCGATTCCACATAGGGTCCTTCCATTCCTAAAAAATTGTTTCTTTTTCTTTGTTCTCCTTCTATTTTCATCTTTCCTTAAAACTTTCAAATGCCTGGGTTATTAGACCTAGCAGACTAACGAACCAAATCGTAACGCAAGCTCTAAGAGCTTATGACATAATTGAATTTGAAAAAAAATACCGAAAGCGATTCACCATAGGATCCTTCCATTCCTAAAAAAAATGTTCCCTTCTCTGTGTTCTTCTATTTTCTTCTTTCCTTAAAACAGGGTTATTAGACCTAGCAGACTAACGAACCAAATCGTAATGCAATATCTAAGAGCTCTTGAATGCGGCGTTTATTCTAATGCTGTTATCGTAATAAATGTATTGGAGATCGAAACCTAATTGAAACAGCGAAAAAACCGGAGCCGTTGGAAAAAGTATGAAATTTTATATAGATATAGTATACAGGATGTTCCTTAATGATATGCGAATATTTAAATGTGTGAATCTACGTGAAAAATCAATGTTAGTTTGCTTTATAAACTATGGTCCAAAATGTTTCCTTACAAAAATTCGGCGTGTTGAAGTTTTAGGAAAGAAATGGATACTAATTAATCTTTTCAGAACCGCTTCAGATATTTCACTGATATTTAGTACGTAGTGAAAGTTAATGAAGTTGCATATTTTTCAATGCAAAAATAATTTTTAGCTTCAACAGTGGCGTGCGTACGGTATTGACTTCGATATTTTTTAAGAACAAAATGGTACGCCAATAGTTTTTTGCCTGATAAAAATTACTTTTGAATTCGCCGTTCAATTTAAAACAAATGATCCCTCTTGAATTGTTTTCTTTCGATGTGCCATTTTTGAGTAAAAACATAAACACCGTTCTATTGTCCAACTTGCAAAATTATTATTAATTTAATTTGAAAAATTAAACACATTAGGGGTAATGAGCAACAACAACTGACAATATAAACATAACATTAAAACCAACGAAATGATTACAAAAATTCTTGAAAATGGCCCCCTTCACTTAGTATGCATGCTTAAGCCTCCCTTCTCATGGAATTGCGCACTCGTTGAAATATCCCTGGAGCGTTTTTTATTCTATCACAAGCTGCAACTATTCTTTCTCTTAATTCCTCTACAGTGTTAATGAGACTTGTATACACTAGTGTCTTAAGATAGCCCCACAAAAATAAATCTAAACTGTTGAGGTCTGGGGACCTTGGTGACTATTCTTGGGGCCCACCGCGGCCAATCCAACGATTTGGATAAACAGTTTGTAAATAATTACGAACCGCTACACTGAAATGCGCTGGTGCACCATCATGCATGTATGAGTATCTGAAGTCACTTGAAATAGCATAAAAACCTTTGGTCGGCGCGTCCTTTGTAATTTCATGACGTATCATAGGCGTGCGGCATTTATTTAGAACGATAATAATAATGTTTTTATATCACAATAAATGGATTTTACTATCTTCTTATTTTTTTGATTTGGGATAAAAAATACTTATATTGGGAGTTTAATTTATGTTGACTGAAAGTTAAGAAATGGAAAAATTACAGAATTCCAACGTTTGACATAGGCAAATATTTACATAGCAGGTAGGTATATAAAAAGGTATATAAAGACTTACATTATAGGTATTTATATATCATCCTCGCCTTCGGAGCTGTCGCTAGAGTCATCTTGTAGAGGCATTACAACGGGATTTACAGGAGGCAAAACACAATATTCATTTTCTTTTTCAATAATATGCCTAGAACACTGCTTCCATAGGTCTGTGGCAGCAATATGAGATACTGCATCTCTTATTGTGGCCAATAGCGATTCACTTAATTGAGGGGTCTGATTATGTTTTCTTACTTTTTTTTTTAAAGCAGCCCAGACCAACTCAATCGGGTTAAAAATGCAGTAATAGGGAGGTAGACGTAATACTTCATGGCCATTTTGCTGAAGCAGCTTATCAACAACATACTCTTTTTCAAATTTTTGTCTTTTAATAAGATCCAATAATATGGCTTTGGTTGATTTTTGTGGTATTTCCATTCCCTTATCCTTCATAAAATCAATAATGTCTTGTTTTTTTGTGCCTGTATTCGGAATTTTGTTTTTCTGTCGGGAATGGTATGGCGCATTGTCCATAATAATCACTGAATTTGGGGAAATGTTTGGTATTAACTGCTGCTCTATCCACTTTTCAAATAAGTCGGAGGTCATGTCCTCATGATAGTCGGCACATGATTCTTTGATATTTTTGGCAGATAACAGCAAGGCATTAGGTATAAATCCATTTTTACTGCCAGCATGGAGAATAATGATTCGTTTTCCACGGTTGCATGGTGCATTTAAAATGCACTTGTTGCTGTCGTCAGCCCAGCCGTACTGCACAACATCATGGGTATCATACCACGTTTCATCCAGGTAAATCAGATTTCTTTTCTGCTCTCTATAGATTTTAACTTTGTGCAAAAATTCTTGGCGCAATTCAACGATTCGAGACGACTCCATAATCACCATTCTTTTATCTAATTTTTTGTATTGAAAACCACACAGTTTTACAATACAGTGCAGTGAGTCTAAGCATTTGTAATTATAAAAATCTTCAGGATAATCTTTTAATTTATCCCGTATCATTTCCAACGTGAGCACCAAATTTTCTTTATAAAATCCGTATATTATACGACGAATATCTTCCTGAAAACCGACGTCTATTCTTTTTAATTTTTGCCCTATGCGCTTTCTGTGGAAGGAATGGTTGACTACATCTCCCCTTTTTATAACCCGATAAATGGTAGACCGACTGATTTTTGTCAGGATACAAATTCTGTTTAAAATTTGATTTTGCGAGGAATCTGG